TAGGTGACCGGGGTTTCCCTTTGGTGCTCAGCAAAGCCCGGATGAGCCTCTGAGGAGCAGGAAGGTGTTTGTGGGCCGCTGCACCGAGGACATGACCGCCGACGAGCTGCGGCAGTTCTTCTGCCAGTACGGGGAGGTGGTCGATGTGTTCATCCCCAAGCCCTTCCGGGCGTTTGCCTTCGTCACGTTTGCAGATGATCAGGTATTTCCCCTAGCGTGGCGCCGTGGGAGTCGCCGGGGCCTGTTTCCTCTGCTCCTGGGGCGGGGCGGGGGGGGGGGGGCCGTGCAGTCCGCCCTTTGGCGTGTCGTGTCACGACCCTGCTGGGTGGGGTTGACGGACCGCCCCTGCCTTGCCAGAGCAGAGGCTGCTCTGTTCACGGAAAGGGCGCGCTGGTCACTGCCGTTCCCTGGGGCTCGGCGCGGTGCCCACGGCCCTGCGCCGGCCTCACGGTCCCCACCCGTGTCTTGCAGGTGGCCCAGTCCCTGTGTGGCGAGGACCTGATCATCAAAGGCATCAGCGTGCATATCTCCAACGCGGAGCCCAAGCACAATAGCAATAGGCAGTTAGAGAGAAGTGGAAGATTCGGTGGTAATCCGGGCGGCTTCGGGAACCAGGGCGGGTTCGGGAACAGCCGGGGCGGCGGGGCGGGGCTGGGCAACAACCAGGGCAGCAACATGGGGGGCGGGATGAACTTCGGCGCCTTCAGCATCAACCCGGCCATGATGGCCGCGGCCCAGGCCGCGCTGCAGAGCAGCTGGGGCATGATGGGGATGCTGGCCAGTCAGCAGAACCAGTCGGGCCCGTCGGGGAACAACCAGAGCCAGGGCAACATGCAGCGGGAGCCCAACCAGGCCTTCGGCTCCGGGAACAACTCGTACAGCGGCTCCAACTCGGGCGCCGCCATCGGGTGGGGCTCGGCCTCCAACGCGGGCTCGGGCAGCGGCTTCAACGGCGGCTTCGGCTCCAGCATGGACTCGAAGTCGTCGGGCTGGGGCATGTAGGCCGGGCTAGTCAGTCAGACGCTAGAGACTGGTGGGAATTCGAATTTTTCTAAACTCATGGTAAGTATATTGTAAGATACCTATGTACTAAGAATTTTCAAATTGGTTTGTTCGGTGTGGAGTATATTCAGCAGTATTTTTGACATTTTTCTTTAGAAAAAGAGGAAGAGCTAAAGGAATTTTATAAGTTTTGTTACATAACGGGTTGAACTGTTGAGTGTTTGACAGTGAACTGCTGTTTGCCTGACGGGTAAACCAACACTACAGTTGCTATCAAGAGGTTTCTCCTGTAATATTTTATCCCTGGACTTGTCACCTGAATTATTTGCATGTTCAAAGTGGAACCATTGGTTAGAGCTGCATTCTTTCCTCCTCGTTTTAATTTGAACCCCGCCATCCAGATTTTCTCCGCAGGAAGATCCCTGGAGATCGTGGCGTTGCGATGTTTGGTTCTTTTCTTTCTGTTTGTTTTCTTAACGCTTGTCTCCCCTCATATGCGAGAGTACGATACGAAGCCTTCGTTTAATCTCTGCAGTTCATCTCATTTCAAATGTCTGTGGAAGAAGCACTCACTGACAGGAGTGCTGCACTCACTGCGCCGTGGGGCTCTGTCCGCTGCTTGCCCCCGCACGCAAGAGCTCGTCCCCACGCCGCCGGGCTGCGTCTCTGACGGTGGGTGTCCCATTTTTATCCGCTACTCTTTCTTTCCTGGAGTCGTATCGACGCTGTGACGGCAAGGCTGTGCTGTGGACCAGAAGGCTGTCTGAACTTCTGAAACCTTGTGTGGGATTGATGGTGGTGCCGAGGCATGAGAGGCTGGTATGAGCGAGGACAGGAGAGCGCGTGCAGAGACTTGGTGGTGCATAATGGAGATTCTTGAACTGGGCGAGATGTGTCTCTCAACCCGTGGCTTTGGTGCGAGAGTGTGCGGAGAGCAGTGGTAGCAGTAACGTCCGTACGAATGTTTCTTGCATTCAAAGGACATCCACGTCTGTTGGAAGACTTGAAGTGAGTCTTGCTCTTAGCGAACCAACGTTAGCTGAATGTGTTAGTGACACGATACTGTATCTGCCCCGCCCCCTTGTCAACTGCTGTGAATGCTGTATGGTGTGTGTCCTCTCCTGCTCCTGATCTGTCGGTGTGGTCATGTGGCCTGGCGCTGGTGGGCTGAGCTTGCGTGCTATACAGGAGTCTCGGAGCGGAGTCGCCAGTGAGCGGGGGGCGGTCCTGGGGCCTGCCCACCCCGAGGATGCGGTTGGCGGTCCTGTACCCTGTGCTTGGATGCTTTTATAAGAGTTGTCAATGTTGGAAATTCTGAAATAAAACTGATTTAAATAATATGTGTCTTTGTTTTGCAGCCCTGAATGCAAAGAATTCATAGCAGTTAATTCCCCTTTTTTTGACCCTTTTGAGATGGAACTTTCATAAAGTTTCTTGGCAGTAGTTTATTTTGCTTCAAATAAACTTATTTGAAAAGTTGTCTCAAGTCACATGGATTCATCACCTGTCATGCATTGACACCTGATACCCAGACTTAATTGCTATTGGTTCTTGCATTGTCCAAAGTGAAAAGTTTTTTTTTTTCCTTTTGAAATCTAGTTTTTAATAAGTCTGGGTGACCGCACCTACAATGGTAAGCAGTACCCTTTTTCTTAGTGCCTCTGTGCATTTGGGTGATCTGTGTCCATGGCCTGTATGAAAAACTCCTTTGGGAAAGTCACTGCCTGAAATGCCGGAAGCAGGGCAGGGCGGGGCGGGGGTTTTGGGGGGGCATCGCAGTGGGAGCGTTTTCCAGGGCTTTGTAGCAAAAAGCATAATCGCTTGAAAAGGTCCTGCGCCTTTCTAGACTGGGATTTGAAAAGTGGAATTAATTGCAGTAGGGATAAAGTAGACGAAACCACAATTATCTTGTGCCTGAAATCCGTTCAGAAGCCTGATAGCTTTAAGATCTAGCGGGGTGGGTTTGTCTGTGAAGTGTTCAGTGGACTGGGCTTTGTCCTCCAAGCTGGGGGGTAAGAGAGTTGGGGGGGCGGTGTTTACAAAATTCAGACGCTCGATGCGATGCGAAGTCTGTAAGAGCAATAATATTTTCTCCTCTTGTACTGTGATGTAACTGCTTGTGAGAGTCGGGCTTGTTTTCTGGTAGAAGAATGTAGAGCTTCTTGTGTTGAATATTTACCTGGTGCCCCTGATGACTAGCTCACGATGAATGGACTTGTGTGTTTCCTGTTTGACACATTTATGAATGAAATGAAATTGTCCTTTAGACTTGTGATTGCTGCTTTATTCAGTTTCCGCTGTAAAAGGATCTTGAGTTTTGATTTTTTTTTTTCCCTGCATCTGAATGGCATGATTTCCAAACCCCGTACCGCCTGGATTTCGCATTTTAGCCCTTGCACTGTTACTCTGCAGCAGTAACACGGTAACACTTAAAATGGTACTCGGGGACCTCCAGAGACTAGACTGGCAAGCCTCCGAGGAGCCCGGGGTAAGTTCTCTCGCCATGGCATGGTTTCCCCCCTCCCCTGCACCGTGGGGCCGCCTACCCACATGGTTCTACAGAGCTCTGGGTAGCTAACTACCCCTCCCCCAGAAATCAGACGTTTAGAAGTAAAACTATTGGGCAGGGATTTGTTTTCAAATCTATTTAGTCATCTAAATGCTTTCATTCTTAAAAAAAGAAAAGATTTTTTTTTTGAACCAGTTGAATAAAAAATTTTGTTGCCACCACAGTTGAACGTCTGGAGTCTTACTGGAAAAACAAAACAGTTCCTTTTTATATGGATCAGAGATGCTATTGTAAAAGTGACCTTAAAAAGTGAGTCTAGGGCTGGAGCAATAGCAAAGCGGGTAGGGCGTTTGCCTTGCACGCGGCCGACCCAGGTTCGATTCCCAGCATCCCATATGGTCCCCCGAGCACCGCCAGGAGTGATTCCTGAGTGCAGAGCCAGGAGTAACCCCTGTGCATCGCCGGGAGTGACCCAAAAAGCAAAAAAAAAAAGTCTAGGGGCTGGAGCGATAGCACAGCGGGGTAGGGCATTTGCCTTGCACGCAGCCAGTTTGGGTTTAATTCCCAGCATCCTATATGGTCCCCTGAGCACCTCCAGGAGTAATTCCTGAGTGCAGAGCCAGGAGTAACCCCTGTGCATCGCCGGGTGTTACACACACGCAAAAAGCTGCACTGGTTTGCACAAGAGAAAGGAGGCCCAAGTTCACAATGCATTTTTACACATGGGGTGACTGGCTAGAGTGAGGTTCTGTTCCAGTGTCGGTGTGAAAAACATCTCAGGAGAAATGCTCAAAGAACCTGACATGTGCCTCATGGGGTTCAGAGTTTGATCCCCAGCACGTGGTGGTCTGAGTACCACCGGGTGTGGCTGGGAAACGGTATGTCAGGAAGATGAAACGCGGGTGGGGGGGCTGGCCGGTGTGTGTGAGGGAAGGTGCCGGTGTGCCCCCGGGCAGCACAAGCTGCCTTAAGTGTGTCTGAATGTTGCGTGTTCTTGTAAGCAGTGAAATTTCGTATTTAAAACCACTGAATTCTAATGTAGTTTTGTCAGGTGAACAAAAAGATACTTGACTCGGCCCTCTTCGGGCTTAAATAATTGCTCAGTCAAGTCCGGGCCGGCGTGCGGCGAGGCTGCTGCAGCGGCCACTGGGCTTTCCTTTAAGGCAGTTGGTAGCCTGGCGGCAAGACGCAGTGCTCTTCCATACTTGGGCTTTTGCCAGTTTGGCAAGAAAAAAAATTGACCACTTTTTGTGTTACTGGCTTTCACTTGGAAGGTGGCGGTTACCAAGGCTAAAAAAAGTTTTCCACATTTCCAATTGCCTGTTTGTTTCTAGAAATCCTAGGCTGGAGAGAGCTAGTACCGCGGCTAAGGGCCGTGCCTGCATGGCCGGCCCAGGTTCCTTGCCCAGCACTCTGAAGCCCCCCAGCCAGCGTCCCCCCCATAGTCATCCTCCCCAAGAGCAACTCGAAGCAGAGACAGTGTTTGCACAAGCCGTTTACTGATCCCAGCACACCAGGAAGTCCTGGCAGCCGTTTGTGGGGGTCAGTGGCGCGAAGGAAGCCGGGCCGGGCGTGGGGGTCAGGATAACCACGGCCGCGGGACTTCCATCTGCTGCGGCCACAGCTGCCGCCTCGCCAGGTCACCTGTCTGCCAAGGTCTTTCAGGGTTTGGTGGTGGTTTCTTAACCTCTGGTGTTAGGGATCAAACCCAAGGCTGCACCCTGAAAACAAGAAGCTGCTTCCTGGCTGAGGATGTGTTAAAAGTTGCTCATTACCTTCCTGATCCAGGGCACGTAGTTGGGGACTTTGGTGTAGACCCCATATTGGCCGGCTTCCCCGCAGTGGCTGGGGCCCCAGGACACGACCCCGCCCACGAACCACCTCTGTGTCTCCGTGTCCAGGAACGCGAGGGCCCCACCGCTGTCCCCCTTGCAGCTGTCCCTGCCCCCGTGTTCCAGCCCTGCACACAGCATGTTCTCCGTGACCTGGGTCTTGGGGACCGACTCAAAGGCCCTCGCGCAGCTCTGGTGGTCTGCCACCGGTACATCCACGAACATGAGGCTCCTGGCCAGAAAGCCCCTCTGAGTCAGCCCCCACCCAGCCACGGTCCCCATGGTGTTGGTCGACATGAGGGACTCTGCCGATGGCCCGGGCAGGCAGACGGGCCGGAGGTGGCTGTTGATGCCCACCTTGTCCTTCAGCTTGATCAGGGCAATGTCATTGTCAAAGCCAGCGTCGGGCCGGTAGCCCTCGTGAATGAAAACGGCCTCAGCCCAGGCCTGCGTGTACTGGGGGGACAGTCTCCGGAGGGTGCCCATCCTGATGTCCAGGGAGGCGGGGTCGTCCTTCTGTGCATACACGGCGTGGGCGGCCGTTAAGATCCAGCCGTCGGACAGGAGCGCGCCCGCAGCTGTCGCCGGGCCCAGCAGCAGCACTTGCCAGGGGAAGTCCCCGGGCTTGGCCCTCTCGCCCCCGTAAATGCGGCCTCCGGTGCTGCGAGAGGAGACCCCACACACTGCGGGGACAAACAGCCTCATGTAATGTAGGGCCTGCCCCAATAACGTGGCCCAGAGCCAACCCGCCAGCACCCGCGCCCCAGAAAGGCAGCGGGTGGCAGCGACACCCGGGGCTTCGTTTCAAGGGAAAGGAGGCGGGGGTTGGGGGGTGGGGGCAGCCAGCAGGCACTGGGGTCACCGGCCTCTGGCCTTGGATCACTGAAATGTTTGGGCTTGTCCTGGTGCCAGGGAACCCGCCCAGGCTGAGCCAGACCTAGGCGCTCAGAGTTTCACACAGTCGGTGCAGGAGCGGGGACAGCTCAGAGGGAGAGGGTGTCGGGGCGCCCTGGGGTGGCCCCCGAGCCCAGCAAGGCAGCAGGCTGCTGTTTTAGGCAGAAACCTGTAGATTGAGCTATGAGTTTTGGGCTGGCTGATTCTTCCAACCAGGACTTGTATCCTTGTTGCCGACTCTCTTTGTTAATGTCGCAAGCACGCCAGTGGCAGAATACTTTCATTAAACTTTGCAAAGTGTCAGCTAGAATAAGAGGTTTTAAAAAAGGAAACAACCAGATAATACAGGGGTAATGAAATATATTATTACCTATCTGGGGTTTTTTTTTTTTAATTGCTCTGATTCAACTATATCTTCAGAGCCAATTCTGGTACCAAAAAAATTCCTTTAAGTACTATGAAAAGGCAACTTGCATTAATGTTTAAAAACTAGATGTCATCGAAAACAATTGCTTAGGGAAATAATAAAGTTATTAGCTTTGGGTTTTAATAGCGGTTTTACAGAGAAGTCACTCGGTAGAGCTACTTGGCATTTGTAAATACGAAATGGTTGGAGATAATTTTTTTAATCGCTTAATTGTTTTTTTTTTAATGTTTGCCTAGTTATAAGGTCAAAAATAATCAAATGACTGATGTCGTCAGTGGCTAACAGCCCCTCCGATTTGGGGGGCAGTAACGAGACGCCATTGTTGGAATTAATAACTTGGCCTGCGAGCCAAGTGCTCAAGTCCAGTTTCTGCCTAGCACAGCGAAAATTTCGACGGCCCCCGCCCCTTCTCCTTCCCATCAATTACCAATATCCCAGACACGTATCCATTACCAGGCTCGCAGACGGGGAGCAGTCTCTCTCCTTTGGAGCTCGTCCAGAATCCATCAGCCTCGCACACATATTTACCTGCAAATCATGGGAAAAGCAAAACTGTTTAGCTGCATGTGTAAGGTGCTTGTCATTTGCGTGAATACCCCTTGAAAAATGTTGATTCTTGAGCATCGTTGGGAAAGTGGAGGCGCCTGAAAAACCGCTTTACATGATTTCCTAAGGAGGAGGTCTCTGCATTACCGTGTTTGCTTGCAAAGTGGAAACCTTTTAGATGTGTAACTTGAATATGCATCACAATCTCAAGTGCTTAATGATAAGGTTTTGACTTGTGAAATTAAACCATTTGGAATATATTGTGTGTTTGTAGTCATTTACGAGATAAGATCTGTTTTCAGGTTCTTGCAAATTGACAGGGGAGTCAGGAGCTGTAATATTTTACTTAGCAGGTGGGAGGGACGCTTTCTCCGGAGCCTTGGTGGTCCAGGCTGGGGCGGTTTGGAGATCCCCTCCCCGCGGCCTGCCCCGCCCCGCCGCACCGCTCACCATCATCACCCCTTCCCATTGTGTAGAAGGTCTCGTTACAGCGGTACTGGATCTCGGCTCTGTAGGTGGTCACTTCCGGCCTTGTGACATAGTCGACTTGGCCGTTGGGCAGCTCATCGGGGGGGCCACAGTCAACAACTGGCAAAGGGAGAGGGAGGTGAGCCAGGTTCTGCGGCGCGCAGGGGTGCGGGCCCGGGGCTCCTGACACACAGGGGAGCAGGCCGGGGGCTCTTGACGCCCCTCGTTGGCTTTTTCTGCAGACTGAGGGAAGGGCCGCAGGCCACAGGCCACTTCAGCTCTGCTTGTGGAAACGCCTGCAGCGGGGAATCCTGAAGGAACCCTGGGCTTTGCCAACCTGCCCCGGCCCCGTCAGCCTCAGTGGATACTGTGGGAAGGACCGAGGCTTGTTATCTGCAGGCTTGGTGGTTCCCAGCCCCGCCTGCAGGGAGCCCTGAGCACCACCCCAGGAAGGAGAGGTGCAGAGGGTGGACTTGAGGAAAAGAACTCCAATTCCCAGGTGTTCTGGGGAAGCCCCAGAGGCAGCTCCGCAGGAAGGGCCCGCAGTGGTCAGCAGCTGCCCAGTGGGACGCCCCTGAACTACAGAACGCAAGATGGCACATGATGGAAACCGGGCCCCTAAAAGGGGGCTGGGAGGTGGTTCCAAGGAAACACATGTTCTTTGCACACGTGAGGTCTGAAATCTGACCCCATGTGCCCTCCCCCAAGGACTGCCTGCCCGACCCAGACAACAGAACTTGGTCTAGCATGGAAAGAGCCCAAATTCTTTATAACTGCAGGGGCACCTGTGGTGAGACTTACTGTCCTTCATGAATTAGGGAACTGGGGGCCAGGGCTGGAGCCATGGCACAGCGGGAAGGGCATTGGCCTTGCATGTGGCTGACCAGGGTTCCATCCCCGGCATCCCATAGGGTCCCCCACACACCAGCAGGAGTGATTCCTGAGTGCAGAGCCAGGAGTAGCCCCGTGCATCACCGGGTGTGACCCCAAAAGCCAAAAATTAAACTCGGAACTGGGCTGTGAGATCATATGGATGAATGCAGCTGTCTGCTGTCCAGACCCTGGTACCACATGCGGGCCCTGAGTGCCGCCAGGAGTGACCCCTGACCACTTCCAGCCAGCTGTGACTCAAGTCTCCCTCCCCGCATAATAAACACTTGTGGGTGGGATCAATTGAGTGGGACACTTGCCTTGCATGCCCCGACTTGGGTTCAATCCCCAGCACCCCATAGGGTCCCCCAATCCCCACCAGGAGTGATCTCCAAGCACAGGGCCAGAATCCCGGAGCCCTACCAGGTGTGGCCCCAAAACTGTAATAATAATAATGATAAAGGCCCTCCCGTTGATCGTCGATTTGCTCGAGCGGGCCCAGTAACGTCTCCATTGGAGACTTTGTTGTTACTGTGTCTGGCATATCGAATACTCTCGGTAGTTTGCCGGGCTCTCCGAGAGGGGCGGAGGAACCGAACTCGGGTCGGCCATGTTGGCTTTGTGCAAGGCAAACGCCCTACCACTGTGCTATCGCTCCCAAAACTGTACATATGTGAAATTTAAGATAACTACTGTAACTTTATTTCCTACTTTTGAACATTCTATACTTCGGAAAAGTTTGGGGTTTTTTTTTTTTTTTGGCTTTTTTGGGTCACATCCAGCAATACTCAGGGCTTCCTCCTGGCTCTGCACTCAGGAATCACTCCTGGCGGTGCTCAGGGGACTCTGGTGGGATGCCAGGGATCAGAGCCAGGTCAGCAGCATGGAAAGCAAACGCCCTCCCCGCTGTACTATCGCTCTGGCCCAAAGCTTTATCCATTTTGTTTTGTGTCACCTTGGCTTTATGGGAGTCACACCTGATGGTGCGCGGGGCTGACTCCTGCCTCTGTGCTTGGGGTCACTCCTGGTGGTGCTCTGGGGAACCCCTGGGGTCTGAGGATCACCATGAGCCGTGTGCAGGCCAAGTGCCCTCCCCGCTGAACTCTCCGCAGTCCCATGATGTGTATTTTTTGGGCACACCCGGTGATGCTCAGGGGTTCCTCCTGGCTCTGCACTCAAATCACTGCTGGCGGTGCTCGGGGACCATATGGGATGCTGGAGATCGAACCAGGGTCGGCCTAGTGCAAGGCAAAAGCCCTCCCCGCTGTGCTATTGCTCCAGCCCCATAAAGAAACATCTTGTTGGTCGCAAGGGTCCCTCTTGAGCCCCTGGAGTGCATGGGGTGGGGGGGTTGTTGGGGGAAGGGCACACATTGGGCTGGTCCAAAGAGGAACAAGGAAGAAAAGGGAGCAGGGAGAGGGGCAGCGGGAAGGGCAAGGAGGAGTGGGGGAGGAGAGAGGGGAGGGCTGGAGCAGGAAGGGGTGAGGAGAGGTGAGCAGCTAGCAGGGCTGGCACGGGACCTACTGCTGCACTCGGGCATGGGCTGGTCCCAGCTTCCGTCCTTCTGACACACAGCAGCAAACGTCCCCAGGGCCACGGAACCCTAAAGAAGGATGGGGTGTCACTTCCTGCTGGCATTAGGAAACCCCTCCAGCCGGCGCGTCCTCTCCTCCCGTCCCCCCGCTGTCCCCCTGGTCCCAGGGGAGCACGGGTGTCCAGGCCCGGCCACCGCGGCCACAGCCTGGGCCGCGCTCAGGATTCTCCCTGGAAATTTCGCTTCTTTCCGTCGTTGTTGGGGGGTGCACACCTGGCAGTGCTTAGGGCTGACTCCTGCCTCTGTGCTTAGGGATCACTCCTGGCACTCAGGACCAAACGGGGTGCCCGGGACCGAGCCCTAGACAGTGCCACGCAAGGCCAGCGCCCCAGCTGCTGGACTGTCTCTCCCGCGTCCTCCCACATTGGGTGGGGGCGGAGGGTTGAGGTCAACCCTGGCGATGCTCGGGAGCGGGGGTGGGGTGAGGGGGATTACTCTTGGTTCTGCCCTCAGGAATCACTCCTGCTGGTGCTCAGGGGACCAGATGGGATGCTGGGGATCGAACCTGGTGTGGCCGTGTGCAAGGCAAACGTCCACCCCACTGTGCTATTGCTCCCGCCTCATCACTTTTTTTTGGGGGGGTGGCACATGCCCTGTGGTGCTCTGGAGCCTGTGATGCCAGGAACCAGGACACAACCCAGGCTCCTGTGTGATCTCCCCTCTCTCTCCCTTCCTTCCTCCCTCCCTCCCTCCCTCCCTTTCCTTCCTTCTTTTCTTCCTTCTTCCCTCCTTCCCTCCCTTCCTTCCTTCCTTCCTCTCTTCTTTTTTTCCTTCCTTCCTCCCTTCCTTCCATCACTCCCATGACACTTGGGGATTACTCCCTGCTTTGTGCTCAGGGGACCATATGGTACTGGGGATCAAGTCCAGGCCTCCCACGTGACGCACACACTCATCCCGCTGAGGTCTCCAGCCCTGCTCTCCACTTTGAGTCCAAGACACAACAGAGGGGCCGGAACGATAGTCCAGCGGGCCCGGGGCTGGCCTTGCCACACATCTGACCAGGGTTCAACTTAGTTCCCCAGAGCCCGCCAGGGGTGATCTCTGAGTGCAGAGCCGGGAGGAAGCACTGAGCAGTACTGGGGGGGCCTCTCCAAAGTGAGCACAACTGCTCTCACAGGTCTCTGCTGATGGCCCCAAATCCTTGTGTGGCAGGCCTGGGGTCAGACATGAAGCTTCCGCAGACGTTAACAGGAGAGTTACCGGCAAACACCGTCAGGGCAGGAGAAAAAAGTGCAAAGTTAAGGCCCTTGTCTCGCATCCCTCCCGGTGCAAATCCTCACTCCCACACCTGGTTCTCTGAGCACTGCTAGGAGAGCTCCCCAAGCTCAGGACCCTGAGTGCCACTCTCTGTGTCCCAAACCCCCACCCTCCTCAAAAGCAAAAGCAGGGGCCCAGAGCAATAGTACAGCCTGGAGGCACTTGCCTTGCACGTGGCCAATCCAGGTTCTGTCCACCCACACAGACTGTCCCCCGAACCCTGCAGGAGTGACCCCTGAGCACAGAGCCAGGAGGAAGCCTGAGCACCGCTGGGTGAGACTCCAAACCCAAACAAAATCAGAAGCTGAGCAGATCCGCAGTCCAAAGACCGTGCGGGGCTGGCCCTGCCCCCCCCCCCACACACACACACAGACACCTCCCGCTCACCTGGGCTCTTCCTTCTCAGCACGGGGACTCGGTGCCAATTAGGAAACACATAAAGAGCCGCTTCTCCTCTTACCTGAGCTCCTAAAGGACGCGCTCAGCACTTCCCGCCCCCGAGGAGCGGTCAGGGCCTGCTGTTTATAACTTTGCAGAATGCGCTCTTTCCCGAGCCGCTTAATGCCGGCTGCACCCAGGGGTGCTCGCCTGAAGGTCATTTGACCAAAGGGAGGGACCTCGCCTGACGTGGGGCAAAATCAGCGCGTGCGGAATTGGGTTAGTAAACGCGGCTCTGCTCCGGCCCGGTGACAAGGGAGGCTCGGCGGGTGTCTATTTTCGTCTCCGCTTTCCGAAGTAGTTTTCCAAAACGGCAAGCGGGAGCCAGGGGCGAGCCCCACCAGCTGCATGCGTCTCTGCATCCAGGATGTCAGCGTTTTCTCTCTGGCACTGCCGGGCCCCCTGGGCACCCCTGGGAGTGACTCCCAAGCACAGAGCCAAGAGAAATTCTTCCTGAGCGCTGCCAGCTACACACAATTTTAAAGATAAAGGGGCAGAGGGCGTTTGCCTAGCACACGGCTGACCCAGGTTCCACCCCGGCCTCTCCGAGGGTCCCCCGAGCATGGCCGGAGTGATCCCTGAGGGCAGAGCCAGGAGGAACTCCTGAATGTTGCTGGGTGTGGCCCCAAAACATCACCGTCACTGTCACTGTTCTCCCGTTGTTCATCGATTTGCTCGAGCGGGCCCAGTAACGTCTCCAATGGAGACTTTGTTGTTACTGTGTCTGGCATATCGAACACGTCACGGGGAGCTTGCCAGGCTCTGCCGTGCGGGCGAGATACTCTTGGTAGCTTGCCGGGCTCTCCGAGAGGGGCGGAAGAATCGAACTCGGGTTGGCCAGGTTGGCTGCGTGCAAGGCAAACGCCCTACCACTGTGCTATCGCTCCAGCCCGGCCCCACGCTGGAGCGATAGCACAGCGGTAGGGCGTTTGCCTTGCACGCAGCCAACATGGCCCCAAAACATAAATAAATTAAATAAAAATAAGGATATTTCAGAGCCAGAGAGCTAGTTTCGGGGTAAGGCACTTGCCTTGCATGCAGCCAACCTGGGTTCAATCAATCCCAGGCATCCTAAAATGGTCCCCGGGCCCCAGCCAGGAGTGATCCCTGAGTGCAGAGCCAAGAGTAATCCCTGGGCACTGGCTCGTGTAGGCACAAAACAAAACAAAAAAGCAGGGCATTTATTTCTAGAGGGTTATTCCTGGGGGAGGAAGGGGCAGGGCGTCAGTTTGGGCCACACCAACCAGCCTTGCTCGGGGCGCGCTCCTGGCTCTGTGCTCAGAGATCACTCCCGGGAGTGCTCCTGGCTCCAGAGATGCCGTGGGCAAGAGCTTGGGCCCCCGCTGTGTCCTGCATGGGTCCTTGTTGCCTGAGCAGAGACCCCGCTGGCCACCGCCTTGGCCCATGACCCTTTTGCACACCTGCTAGTTTACACGGATTTAAGGCCCATTAAGGCCCAGAGGGCAGGGCACAATCTCGGGGCAGGACCGAGCTCACCCCCAGGAGAAGGTGCTGGGAGGAGCCCCGAGCACCGCAGGCTGTGGCCCCCAAACCAGCCCCGCAACGCGGAGCCTCTGGGGCCACGGGTCACTCACCCTGAGCAGCTCGAAGCCTGGCTCACAGGAGACAGAGATGCGGTCCCGGAACACGTACTGTGCCTGCACCGGCGAGAGGCGGCCGTGCGGTGGCGCTGTCGGCTCAGGGCAGGGCTGGGCTGCGCCGAGAGAGGGCGGGTTGGTCCAGGCGACTTTTCCTTTGCGGGTGTTTTTGGTTTTGCTTTGTTTTATTTTATTTTATTTCACTGCCTCACTCGGCAGTGCTCAGGGCTTACTCCTGGCTCTGCACTCAGGGACCTCTCCTGGTGGGGCTCAAGAGACCATCTGGGGGGCTGGAGAGAGAGCACAGCGGGTAGGGCGTTTGCCTTGCACGCGGTGGACCCGGGTTCGATTCCCAGCATCCCATATGCTCCCCTGAGCACCGCCAGGAGTAACTCCTGAGTGCAGAGCCAGGAGTAAGCCCTGTGCATCGCCGGGTGTGACCCAAAAACCGAAAAGAGAGAGAGAGAGAGAGAAGGAGAGAGGGAGAGAGAGAGAGAGAGAGAGAGAGAGAGAGAGAGACCATCTGGGGTGTCAGGGCTCAAATTCGGGCTCCCACATTCAAAACGTGAATTTTCGGCCCTTTGAGTTGATGCCCCTGCCCCTGACATTTTGGCTTTGTTTTATTTATTTATTTATTTATTTATTTGCTTTTTGGGTCACACCCGGTGATGCACAGGGGTTACTCCTGGCTCTGCACTCAGGAATTGCTCCTGGCAGTGCTTGGGGGACCATATGGGATGCTGGGAATCGAACCCGGGTCGGCCGCGTGCAAGGCAAACGCCCTACCCGCTGTGCTATCGCTCCAGCCACTGACTTTTTTAGGGTGTTTTCTTTTTTCTTTATTTTTTTCTGCTTTTTGGGTCACAGGGCGATGCACAGGGGTTGCACAGGGGTTACTCCTGGCTCTGCACTCAGGAGTTACTCCTGGTGGTGCTCGGGGGACCATAGGGGATGCTGGGAATCGAACCCAGGTCGACCGTGTTTGAGGCAAACGCCTTCCCCGCTGTGCTATCTCTCCAAACCCTGGGCCTAACGTTCTTGATCTATAAATCAGACTTCAGTATGTGAGGAGAGGAGGCCATGGTGGAGGAGACGACGAACCCATCCAGAGGGCATGGGACTGGCTGGCGCAGGGGCCGGGGAACTTGCCTGGCAGGTGGCTGACCCTGGTTTGAATCTGAGCATCACACATGATCCCTCATGTTTGTGTGTTTGTTTGTTTTGGGGCCCCACCTGGCCTGGCGATGCTCAGGGGTGACTCCTGGCTCTGCACTTGGGAATCACTCCTGGTGGTGCTCGGGGGGCCCTATGGGATGCTGGGATCAAACCTGGTTGGCTGCGTGCAAGGCAAATGCCCTCCCCGCTGTGCTATGGCCCCAGCCACATAGGATTGCTGAGCACAGAATCTGGAGTAGCCCTGAAGCAGGATCAGGGTTGGTCCCCCCAAGAACAACCACCCCCCAATTAGAACAAGATCAAAAGGTGAGAGGGCTGGAAGGACGCTCCAGGGCTGGGCATGCCCGCGGCCTCCTGCCGCACAGACCCTTCTGGGCACCTCGGGGAGCCTGGGGGCCCGAGCAGGGCCGGCCCCAGCAGGGCCGGCCAGGCCCAGAGCGCCTGAGCGGCTTTGCGGAGAGTGCCCAGGGAACAGGCAGGGCAGAGGCGAACTGGACTCTGCTCAGCGCCCCCTAGGCCAGGCACCTTCCTGGGCTCTGAGCCTGGCAGGAAGCTGGTGTGGGGCTAGGGGTACGCGGGCAGGAACTTCTCACCACGGCGGGACCCACCAAGGAAGTCGAGCCCCCTCCTCTTCGAAGCCCCGGGCCAGCTCGGGACCGACAGGGGCACAGGGAAGGGGCAGCCTGGGACGCTGGAGGAAGCAGGATACGGGGCGCAGTGCAGGACCTGGGGGGCCGTCTGGGGACTGAGGGACAGCCCAGCACGGGCCTGACAGGAAGTTCGCTCAAGGGCGTGCTGGGAACTGCAGGGCCTGCTCCCACGCTGTCCCCAGCCCGCCCTGCCCCTGAGCCAGACCCTCGCTGCCCTCCCCCCAACCCCCATCCTAGGGCCCCCCTGCTCTTCCCTGCCAAATCTTCCCCCCCCCGCTTCGTATCTGACCTTCGCCCCAGCTGAGCCCCAATGCCTTGAAAGAAAACCCCGAAGTTTAGCAGTACTCCTAAAAAAAAAAAGAAAAGAAAACCCCGAACTGACGTGGAGACAAGGGGTGTCCTCCAGGCTCCGGACTGCTGTCCCTGCAAGCCCAGCGGCTCAGGAAAGACCTCTGAAAGACCTCATCTGTCCATCTGTCTGCCCATCTATCTGTCCGTCTGCCTGTCCATCTGTCTGTCTGTCATCTGTTCATCTGTCTGTCCGTCCGTCCATCTGCCTGCCTGTCTATCCGTCCATCTGTCTGTCCGTCTGCCTGTCATCTGTCCATGTGTCTGTCCATCTGTCCGTCCGTCTATCTGTCTGCCTGTCCATCTGTCCGTCTGTCTGTCCATCTGCCTGTCCATCTGTCTGCCTGTCATCTGTCCATCTGTCCGTCCGTCCATCTGTCTGCCTGTCCATCTGTCCGTCTGCCTGTCCATCTGTCCGTCTGTTCGTCTGCTTGTCCATCTGTCTGCCTGTCATCTGTCTGTCTGTCCATCTGTCTGCCTGTCCATCCATCCATCTGTCTGTCCGTCTGCCTATCCATCTGTCTGCCTGTCATCTGTCCATCTGTCTGTCCATCTGTCCATCCGTCCATCTGTCTGCCTGTCTATCCATTCGTCTGTCTGTCCGTCTGCCTGTCCATCTGTCTGCCTGTCTATCCGTCCGTCCGTCCGTCCGTCTGTCTGTCTGCTTCTCTGTCCGTCTGTCCGTCTGTCTGTCTGTCCGTCCTCCCTGTGCAGCCCCCAGAGCGCCCCAGGGCACCTGTGCTGCTGTAGCGAATCTTCCAGCCCGTGTGCTCTCCGGACTCGTCCGTGACGAAGCTGACGGCCACCGTGTTGCTCCTGGTCTCGATGCGGGAGGGCCTGGACCTCCCGCAGAAGGGGCCGTAGGCGTCTCTGGGCGTGTGGATCTGGGAACGGGGGCGTCACTCAGCGACTGTGGGCGCCGGGCCCGGGCGCGAGGGGCAGCCACCAACCTTCAGGGCGTCATAGGGGCACTGGGCCTCAGGGTGTGTCTCCACGTCAAAGGAGCCCTCGAAGTCCAGCACGATGCTGAAACCCTCTTCCAGACGGATGCTGTAGGTGCAACTGGAGAGTTTGGGGTACGGCTGCGGGTATTCGGGGCTACTAAGCACCCCAGACCGGTTGGTGAAGACCTGGCCCGAGCACAGGGCTGGGGGGGAGAGAGCATGCGTGAGCGGGGGCAGTGGGCCGGGCCTCAGCAGGGGTTGGAGGACAGTGTAGGGACCATTTCTGGGAAGTGTAGGGACGCAGGATCTGGGCAGTAAGTTCTCGGGGGGCCCAACGTACACCCCAGGGATGTGGAGGTTGTGGCGAGGAATCAATCGGGACCCGGGCATGGTTGGTACCGGGGCCCAAGCCTGGGAGGGAGTGAGTTCAGAGGCACAGGAGAGGGAGGGTCCCCCCGGGGACTCTCCAGGAGGAAGGTGACGCCCTGGCCCAAGGGTGTCTCTCCCTCCACACCCTGCCAGGTGGGACCCGGAGGAGACACCCACCCAGCACCCCTTCCTGTTGCCCCCATGCTCGGCACCCCCCGCCCCTTCCTCCTTCCACCCAGGTCCAGGGACCCACGGGCCGCGCCCACGGCCTCTCATACGACTCGTCCCAGCGCAGAGGGGCCCCAGGGTGCAGCAGCTGAGCATCTGAGGAGCTCAGGCCGGGTCCGCACTGCAGCCCCTCCCCCCCAGGCCCAGCCACAGAGACTCAGCACAGGGGCAGAAACAGCTGATCTGCTTTATTTAGGTCCGAGCAGGGTGGGGGGCCTGGCCCGGCTTCCGGGGGGCACTAGAGATGTCTCTCTGAAAGAGAAGAGATGGGCGGCGCGGGCGGGCATGGTCACCTCCGGGGTGGGGTGGGTCGCTCTAGGTGCAGGGCAAGGGCAGCGCAGGGGTGGGGTGCGGAGGTGCAGGGCGGGGTCCGTGCGGGGGTGGGGAGCAGGGCAGGGGCCTCGGGGGACCAGCGTGCTGTTCCCTTACACCCACACCTGCTCCAGCCTCGTTTTCCTTTCCCCTTTTGGGGGCCACACCCGGCCGGCGGTGCTCAGGGCTGGCTCCCGGTGGGAGGGTCCCCGGAGGCCCCAAACCCAGGGCCCGCCCTCCCCCGGCCTGACGCCTTCCCGTGTGTATGTTGGGTGCAGCCCACAGCAGAGAGCCCTGAGCACTGGGCTGGGAGCGGGGCATCCCGGTGGGCTCACCTGAGCACGTGCGCTGGTTGGGGTGCAGGGTGTAGCCAGCCCGGCAGGAGCAGTAAAAGCCGCCCAGGTGGTTGTGGCAGTGGTGGTCACACACGGGCGGCCCCTCCGGGGGCACCTGGCACTCGTCGATGTCTGCGGGGGCGGGGTCAGGTCGTGAGCTGGGCCAGGAGGGACCCTCCTCGCAGCAGACACAGGTCATTGTGGCCCTGGGTGGCTGACGGAGGGGGAGCCTGGCCTCAACTGTGTGTGTCCTGGGGGCGTCAGGGCTGACTCCCGGCTCTGTGTCCAGGGATCACCCCTGGGCTGCCGTGACCAGGCAGGCTTGAGCCAGTGCGCAGGGCGGCGGCATCCCCGGCCCGGGTGCGAGGGAAGCTCATCTCTGCGCTCAGCCCGTGGAGCTGCTCCCCACCTGAGTCTGGCCTGCTGGTTGGTTTTGGTTTGGGGCTCACACCCACAGTGCTCAGGACTCACTCCTGGTGGGCTCGCAGACCGGAGGGGGCTCAGCTCTCGAGAGTTGAGTCCCCCCTCCCCCCTACATCTATCAGGCCCTGGCCTTTCTTTGGGGCCACACTGGGCAGTCCCCAGGCTCCCTCCTGGCTTCGAGCTCAGATCAGGAGGGGACAGAGCCGGCATGGACGCGTGTGCTGTGCCCTGACTACCTCCTGGTGTGTTTTGGAAGGGCCACACCCGACCATGCTGACTCCTGGCTGCTCCGGGGACCATGGGGGGGGGGGGCAGGATCAAACCAAGCACCCTCCCGGCTGTGCTAGGGCTCCTGCCCCCCCCCTCCTTTTTTTTTTTTTTGGCTTTTTGGGTCACACCTGGTGATGCTCAGGGGTTCCTCCTGGCTCTGCACTCAGGAATTACTCCTGGCGGTGCTCGGGGGACCATATGGGATGCTGGGAATTGAACCCGGGTCGGCCGTGTGCAAGGCAAACGCTCTCCCCGCTCTGCTATGGCTCCGGCCCCTCTGGGCCCACCATGTGTGGCTTTTTTGAAATCAGCCACAGCGAAGGGAACAGCCAGCGTAAACCCACCCAAGGGACGGCTCCGGGTTCTGTTTGGACCCTGGCCGCTGCAGAGCACAGAAGGTTGAATCACCTGGCCCAGGCCTCACAGCAGATCCCAGAAGCCACCCTGGCTGTCAGTGGGGGAGGTGGCGAGGGTACTTCTGGCGGTTGGACGTGCTGGGAGGCCGGTGGACTGTTTCCTGCCAGTGGCCAGTGACGTCCCCGGGCAGCCAGTGTCCTGCGGGTGTGGCCGGAGTCGGCCCTAGAGAGGGGACACGGGGCGCCCAGGGCCCCCACTCACCCTCTGCCGCATAGAAGGCCTCGAAGCCTGAGAAGGGCTTCTCGTTGGAGTAGTCGGAGCGGAAGGTCACGTCCAGGTGGGGCCCCGGCGACAGGAAGTGGTCAGTGCTGGGTGCCCTCTCCGTGTCGGTGCTCTCCTGTCCGCAGAGAGTGGCCAGTACCTTGCTCCCGGCGCTCAGCTGTGGGCGGGGGCGCGGGGAGGTCAGGGGCTAGGGGGCTCCCGGGGCGGGCGCGAGGGGCACACGGCTGGGGTCGCACCTGGACGAAGTCGTACTCGCAGCGGTAGGACGGCTCCAGCTGGAAGTGGGTGAAATAGAGGCGCAGGCGGAACCCGGGGGGCGCCGTCAGGTTCCAGCGCCGCTCCTGGTGGTTGGGGTACGGCCCCGGGAAGCCGGGGGACGCCAGGCGCCCGAACACGGGCTCGGGCCACCCGGGGCTCGGCGGTGCCGCCGCCCCCCAGGGCAGGGCCAGGAGGACGGCCAGCCCGAGGCGGAGGGGCCCACTCCCCGCCCTCAGCCCTGCCCGCCCGGCCTGGGAGACCCCCAAGCGTCGCATGCTGCCTCCGCCTGCTCTGAGCAGACAGCAGCTCACCTTTGGTCTGTTTGCCCTGAGCCCGCCCTGCCCCCACCGCCCTGAGCCTGGCATTCCGGGACGTGGGCCCCGTGACCCCGACAGAGGACAGGCCGGAAGCCAGAGCCGATAACAGGCGACCTCCCCAGACTTTGTCTCCTCTGGGGCCTGCAGGGCAGCTGAGGGCTTCCAGGAGGAGGCGAAGCAGGACCGCAGGCTTCTGCCTGGGCTCCGTGGGGAGGACGGGGATGTGGGGGAGGATGGGCCTGTGCTTCCCGGATCCGGAGTGGCTGGGGAGCTCAGTGAGGGGGTCCCGGGGTCCCCTCGTCGCCTCAGAGGCGGGGCTGTCGTGCCCGGTGACTGCCCGCAGCGGGGTTATTGTGGGGCAGGCTCAGGGCCAGCTCCAGATGGCCGGGGCTTGAGAGACAGGACAGTTCCATCCCTGGCATCCCATCTGGTCCCCTGGGCACCGCCAGGAGTGGCCTCGTGGGCACAGAACCAGGACTAAGCCCCAAGCACAGCTGGGTATGGTCCGAACAGTTCCCCCTAAAATAGGGGTTCAAGCTAGTCCCTTGGGGGGGGCACGCAGGAGAGATGGAAACTCATTAAGGAGTCTGGGAGAGGCCAGGGACAGCCCGGCGGGGAGGGCACTTGTCTTGCACGCGCATGAGTTAGATCCCTGGCATCCCACAGGGTCCCTTGCGCCCTGCCAGGCGAGATTCCTGAGCTTGGAGCCAGGAGTCAGCCGGGTACTGCCGGGCAGTTCAGGAGGGGGCTGGAGGGAGCAAGGGTGCGGCTCTCGCCTTGACATGTGCTCTGGCTTGATGCCCGCCGTGGCATATGGTCCTGGGCCTTGCCAGGCGTGCCGTGACCCCGGATGTATGGTACGGCTGTGGGCATGGCCCAAAAACCAAATGAAGTTTGAGGCGCGGTCCCCGCGCTGGGGAGTCACCCGCTTGTGCCCGGAAGTGAGTCTAGTCCTTTTCATTTTCTGGCCCCATCTAACCTGTTTGTGTACACCTGGCAATGCTCAGGGGTCACTCCTGCCAGCACCTGGGGGCTCCTGGGTTCAGGGATGGAACCTGGGTCTGCTGGTGTTCAGGCAATCGGCCTCCCCTACCTACCGGCCCCTGGTCAGGCTCCTCGACTCTCTCTTTAACCCTTTCCCCCCTGCCCCAACTCTTAGGGCTTTACAGAGAACTGGCGAAAAGCCTGGAACCAAGTTCGCGATGAATTTATTGAAAAGTAACTGGGGAACGAGCCCCCAGCCCTCCTGGGTCAGCAGAGGGGCTGCGTGGCCTGACGCAGGAGGCAGCTGTTGCTGGGCTGGAGCACTTGAACCTGGAGTCCCTAGGACCGTTGAGGCTGGAGGTGGGGGGCGGCCTCCCCATCCCGGCCTCCATCCACGCCGGGGAACAAGTCAGTCGCAGACCCAGCCCAGGCAGGACTGGTCTTACTCCACACTACAACCCTGACGCGGGGCCTGGGGGGTCACTCGGCACACGCCATCCACATGGGACCCCCACTGCACTGTGCATGTGGCCTCAGGGTCAGGGAACTGGATTCCAGTGTCCAGGACTGTGAGGAGTCCTGGGTCCTCCTGGCGCCTGCCAACTGCCCCTTCCGGTGCCGGGTAGAGCCACAATTCCTGTCTTTACCCTCTGACCCCGGCTCAGGGCTGTGGGGGGAGGGGCCGCATGCCACTCCCAGCCCTTCACTGTCTGAGGTCACAGCGGCTGACCGGGCCCCAAGTCGGAGGCGCGCGTGGGGCAATACAGGGGTCAGGGGTCGCTGCAGAAGTGGACGCCCGCTTCCTAGCTCCCATCACAACTGGTCAGGGCCCGACGGTGGATGCAGTGAAGTGCCAACCTACACCTTGAGGCCCTGTCTGTCCCCTCCCGATGCTCTGGCTGTGTGCAGGGCGGTGAAGGGGCTTGTGCAAACAGTGTCCTGAGCTGTGGACACCAGGACAGAGGCAGGGAGGTGGGGAGGAGAGGCCTTGAGCCCCTGGTCCTGGGAGGCTCCTTCCCGGTCTGCAGGCGGCCGGGATGAGGTTCAGCACCATGGAGAGGGCACGGCCGCGGCCCAACCCTGCCAACCAGCACCTCCAGCCCGAACCGTCCCAGGACCGACCTAAACCCAGCAGCCCAGCTGGCCTCCCCGTGTTCCCCTCCAGCAGTCCCCGGTGGGCACCCGACAAGCCTGGGCAAGACTCATTGCTCAGAGCAGGGCTGCCAGCAGCTGCACCCCGGGGTGACAGGGGTCAGTGGGCCTGCGCAGTGTGTCCCCCCGCCCCCGCCCCTCCGGGGCCGGCGCTGGTCTGAGGTCGCAGGGGGGTGGCCCCTCCCGGGGATTCGGGCAGGCCAGGCAAGGTCGTGGACACAGATGCGGAACTTTGTTATAAATACACGTGTTGGTGGGCATGGGGCCGTGGGGCGGGGCTGTACACGGCTGCGAGAGGCCTGGAGGCCACGAGCCCGGGACAGACCGTCCAACCCGGGCGGCCGGGCAACGGTCCCTGGCAGCGGCCAGCCGGCGGGGGTGAGGGTGACGGGTCTTGTCCAGGCCGACGTCAGGCTCAGCTCACTTCATTCAAGGCCTGGGGGGTGGAGGGGAGGAGGGAACGACATGGGAGGCCTCGTGAGGAGAGTGGAGGCTGGCCCTGTGGCTGCACCTCAGGGGCGCCCCAACGCCTGCCCGCAGAGCCCACCCCAGCTGGGGGCCCACCTTGCGGGCAAACTCGGGCAGGACGAAGGCGGCCCGGTGCACGTCGGAGTTGTAGTATCTCAACTGCATCGCCTCCACCTGCTTCTGCGTCAGCGGCCTCACCGGCTCCCGGAAGTTGGTGTTCTGTGGGCAGGTGGGCAGGGCCATGAGGGGCTGCTCTGGCCCCCCCCCCCCAGCCCCCCGGCAGCCCCGTCGCGGCCCCTCACCGGGTTTTTACTGCACAGCATGAAGCCGATCTGGCCGCTGGGGTAGGTGGGGATGGAGCAGTAGGCGTAGCCCACCACCGGGAAGAGAGACTTGCAGAAGTGGCGCATCTCCTTGATGAGGTCCAAGTGCAGCCACTGGCACTCACCTGCAGGGGGGACGCACAAGTGTGGGCAGCTGCCCGGCCCGCCCGCGAGGACCCCCGCTCCACCCTGGCCTGCCCCTCACCCTGGCAGCACAGGATGCCGTCCTCCTTGAGCGCCGTGTTCATGAGCTGGTAGTAGGACTCCTTGAAGAGGCTCTCCGCGGGCCCTGCAGGGGAGGCCGGGCCTGAGGACAGTGGCCGGGCCGCTGCCTCCACCCCCCTCAGGACGCAGAAACAGGAGCCCGGGCTCTGGGAGGAGAGAGACGGAGGAGCCCGCCAGCCAGCCCCGCTGCCCAGGCCCGCAGGGCAGGAGCGGAGACCGGGGTCCCAGTGGGCCGAGGCCGCGAGTGGCCCGGGCACCTGCCCAGCGGCCGGCCTACCCACCCATGGGGTCCGAGGAGTCGGTGATGATGACGTCGAAGGCGTCCTGGTTCTGCTTCATGAACTCGAAGCCGTCTCCCACGTGCAGCGTGAGCTTGGGGCTGGAGTAGCCCACGGCCATGCCGGGCAGGAACTGCTTGGAGACGCGGATGACGTCCTGGGGGAGAGGGCGCAGGCTGGGCGCGGGCCTGAGGGGGTGGGGGGCGCTGGCCGGGGCACCCCGCGCCCCCGGGCGACCCCGGCCCCCGGCCTCACCTCGTCGATCTCGCACTGCACCACGGACTCCACGCAGCTGTGCTTGACCACCTCGCGCAGGACGCCGCCGTCGCCGCCGCCGATGATGAGCACCTGCGGGGCGGCCAGCGGTCAGCGGCGAGCGCGGCCCCGGCCCCGGCCCCGGCCCCCGGCCCGGGCCCGCCCCACCTTGCGCGGGTCCGGGTGGCTGCAGAGCGGCAGGTTGGCGATCATCTCCTGGTAGGAGAACTCGTCCCGCTCGGTGCACTGGATCACGCCGTCCAGCACCAGCACGTTCCCGTAGCTCTTGCTAGGGGGCGGGGGCACGGTCAGGGGGTCGCGCGGGCTCCCCCGGGCCGGGGGTCGCGCTCCCGGGGACGCGTCCCGGGCGGACACGTGGAGCGCGCGCGGCCCGGCCCGGCCCGGGGCCCCGCGCTCGTGACAGCGTGGCGGGGGGCGCCGGGCGGGCGGGGGGCGCGCGGGAGGGCGCGGGGCGGGGCGGGGCCGGGCCGAACCGGGCCGAGCCGAACCGGGCAGGGCCGGGCCGGTACCTGCGGAAGACGAGGATATCCTGGTACCGCGAGCGCTGGTGGTGCAGCAGCTGCTCCACCTGCAGCGACAGGGCCTGCCCGGGCCACAGGCTGCACGTCTCGCGGAACCAGCCCTCGCGGATGGCGGCGGGCCCGGGGCCGGGCGCGGCGGCGGCGGCGGCGGCGGGGCCGGGGCCGGGCTCCATGGCGCGGGGCGCGGGCACTGCAGGCCGCGCGAGCCGCGGCACAACGGGAGCGGCTCCGCCCGCCGCGCGCGCCGCAACCTAGCCGCGGGGGCGGGGCCGGCCGGGGGCGGGGCGCGGGCCGCCCAATGGCGGCGCGGGCGCGGGCGCGCGGCCCGCCCACCCCGGCGCCCGGGGCGCGCCCATTGGCCGCGGCGCGCGTCCGTCGGCGGCAGCAGGCTAGTGCGGCCCGCTCCGAGGGGCCACGTGGGGCCGCGCCGGGCGCCGCGGCCGGGCCCGGGCCGGGTTCCGGGGCGGGCCGCCCCGGCGGAAGGGGCGCGGGTGGGCGTCCCCGCGGGCCTCGGGCTCCCGGCGGGGTCGGGTCGGGGCCGGAGCTTCCGTTGGACGGCGCTGTCTGGCCGGGAAGGGGCCCTCGCCGCCTCGCCGGGCCGCGCAGCCTCCCCCGGCCCGCGCCCGAGCAGCGCCAGCCGGGAGACGCGCCCTAACGAGTTGCTCATTTTGCCGGCGCGTCCCGGAAGGAGCCAGCACATGCATATTCAGCACCCAAAAAAGACGGGCGTGCTTTTTTTTTCTTTTGACAAACGGGGTCTGGCTTCTTGACGGGTGGGAGGAAATCTGCTTTCTGTTTTCGCGAACATGTCAAGGAGCTCGTCGGCAGCCCATTAAGCAGGCTCATTAGCAGATATTAAATGCTAATTGCCCGACACGCCTGAGTTCGCCCGCCGCGACGGAGCAAACGGGTGTCAGCCGCCCCGAGGACGAGGACGAGGACGAGGACGAGGACGAGGACGTGACGGGCCCGTCCGCGGGGCGTGGGATTCAGGCTCCTCCAATTCAGCGCCGCGGCTGGGGGCCCGCACCCGGACCCGAAACGGAGGAGCCTCCCCTGGCACGTCCAGGGAGGCCTGTGTGCCTGGTGGGGTGGGCAGTGAGCATGCAGGCACCCTGCCCACGGGGCTGTCCGACCCCTGAGCGCTGCCCAGGAACCCACAGGCTCCCTGGAGCAGCCCCTGCCGGTGGGCGAGCGGGGCCTCCTGTGCAGCGGCAGAAGGCTGGGCCGGTCAGACCGTGGGCACCGGGAGCCCCAGATGCTGTTGTGGCTGGCAGCCCGGCCCAAGCGGCACAGGGATCCAGGCTCCTCCTGGCTGGCTGCCCGGCTGAGCTCACCGCCTGGTCCTGGACTCGGGCAGGTGTGTCCTAAGAGAAGCCAACACGTAGCCCAGCCCAGCCCAGCCCCACGCACCCACGGCGAGGAGCCCTGGGGCTGGCGGATAGATAGTCGACCCTGCACCTCCTGCACTCGGAGACAGGAAGACTTTGGTGGGCACGAAAGTCTCCCTCCGGGAAGGGCTGGGAAGGAAGTGCAGGGGGCTGGCACTGCTGGTGTCTGACCCGGTTCAGTCCCTGGTACGGCACAGGGTTCCCTGAGAGCACAGCCACAGGGCTCCCCGCCCAACACACACACATACACACACACAGACTCTGCCCCCGCCCAACACACACACACACACAGATTCTGACCCCGCCCAACACACACACACACACACACACACACACACACAGATTCTGCCCCCGCCCAACACACACACACACACACACACAGATTCTGCCCCCGCCCAACACACACACACACACAGACTCTGCCCCCGCCCAACACACACACACACACACACACACACACGGTTCCCTGAGCTCAGCCACAGGGCTCCCCGCCCAACACACACACACACACACACACACACACACACACACAGACTCTGCCCCCGCCCAACACACACACACACAGACTCTGCCCCCGCCCAACACACACACACACACACACACAGACTCTGCCCCCGCCCAACACACACACACACACACAGACTCTGCCCCCGCCCAACACACACACACACACACACACACACACACAGTTCCCTGACACAGCCACAGGGCTCCCTGCCCAACACACACACACAGACTCTGCCCTCGCCCAACACACACACACACACACACACACACACAGTTCCCTGACACAGCCACAGGGCTCCCTGCCCAACACACACACACACACAGACTCTGCCCCCGCCCAACACACACACACACACACACAGTTCCCTGAGCTCAGCCACAGGGCTCCCCGCCCAACACACACACACACACACACACACACACACACACACACACACGGGCTCTGCCCCCTCTTGGGTAGGAAAGTCTCACACACACAGACTCTCTCTCTCTCTCTCTCTCTCTCTTTCCCTCTGCCCCCCTTGGGTAGGAAAAGCTCCTTCGGAAGAAACACCGGTTTTGCCAGGGGCCCTCGTGGGCCTATAGTCGGTGACTGATAGGGACAATCAGGATGAAGAGGCCCAGGAGGGCAGAAATCTCACAATGCCCCAACGCAGACCAATGTCATATAAAACCCAGCTGGAGGTCTGGAGCAGTAGGACAGCGGGCGGGCGCTTGCCTTGCACAAGGCCAGTTCGTATATGGTGCCTTGAACCCCACCAGGAGGAAGCCCCTGAGCACAGCTGAGTGTGGCCCCAAAACAAAACAGATCTGGATGGTGGCACATCTATCAACTCAGGCAGATTTCTAAACTCCAGCTGGGGAGCCAGAGAGACCAGAAGGAAGCCCAGGCTCACCCCCCAGAGGGTGCAGGGGGCCTGGTTGTCTCCTGCACCATTCCAGACTGGCCTGAAACCAAAACAAATGTAAAATTCCTGCCTTAGACAACCTGGTTTCCTAAGGTGGTGTTAGTTTTTAGGGGGCTGGCAGGGTGGTGGTCACTGGCCTACGGATAGCTGGGGGTGGGGTTAGAGGTTAGTCATTGGCCCAGGGATGGTGGTGAGGGGGTGGTCATTGGCCCACCAGGGATGGCAGGAGGGTGGTCAATGGCCCAGGGATGGTTGGGGGGTGGGTTATTGGCCCAGGGATGGTGGGGGGTGGTCACTGGTCCAGGGCATGGGTGAGGGGCTGTCACGGGACAGACTTGGAGGGGGGTGGGTGTAGCCCAGGGCCTAGCCAGCCTCTCCTGGTTAAGTGGTCACGGGTTTAGCTATAATTTGGGAGGAAAACGGCTCTAGCACCTGAAGTAGCCCCACCCCCAAAGGCCCAGGTGATGCTAACTTTCATGAAACACTTGAATCTGTGTTGGTTAGGGATCAATGCCTAAAAGTGGGCCGTCCACATCACTGAAACCATGAAAACCCAACAAATCCGCAGGCTTCAAAAGGTGCCTGTTGGAGATGGGCAGCTGGCGGGGGTGGCACCTGGGTAATTGGGAGCATGTGGGGGGAAGATGGACCTGGTGGGGGGGGGTGAAGGGACAGTGAAGGAACCTTGTTTGTCAAAACCCAGCCCTGGGGGTCGGAGTGGCAGACCAGGGGGGAGGGACTTGCCTTGCACGCGGTCGACCTGGGTTTGGTCCCCAGAACCCCATATGGTCCCCTGAGTACCACCAGGAGTGATTCCTGAGCACAGAGCCAGGAGTAACCCCTGAGTACCACCTGTATGACCCAAAACCAACCAAACAAACAAACAAAAAAAAAACAACTTTGAAGAACTTCTTAAATCGCAGTGCTTTAATAAATTTTTTGGGGGAATAAAAGCACTTAAATGGGCTGAACGACAGTATAATGGGTAGGGTGTTTGCCTTGCATGCGGACAACCTGGGTTTGATCCCCAGAACCCCATATGGTGCCCGGAAGTTCACCAGGAGGATCTCTGAGAGCAGAGTGAGGAGTAAGCCTTGAGCACTGCTGGGTGTGAACCAAAGACCAAGAAAAAAAAATACATGGGAACCACAGAAAGTAGGAAGTCATGTTTTCTTAAGGGTTTTTTTTTTTTTTTTGAGGGGGACAGGCGGAGCACATCTGGGGCGCTGGGCATCAGCCTGCCCTGCCTGCTAAACCATCTCTCTAGCCCGACAGGCCCCAACTTGAATTTTTTTCTTTTGCTTTTTGGGTCACACCTGGCAATGCTCAGGGGTTACTCCTGGCTCTGCACTCAGGAATCACTCCTGGCGGTGCTCGGGGGACCACATGGGATGCTGGGAATCGAACCCGGGTTTGCCGCGTGCAAGGCCAGCGCCCTCCCTGCTGAACTGTCGCTTTGGCCATTTTTTTAGGGAGTCACACCCCGTGGTAGTTAGTGCTGGGGGTTGAACACAACCTCCTGCATGACACACGTGTGCTCCAGCCTTTGAGCTGTTGCCCTGCTGTGGTCCCATCATAGAAACAGACAAGACCAGGAGCTGGCCTGGGGCTGAGGCAGGTGTGGTGGTAGAGGCCCTGGTGCCCGGGCATCATGGGGAGTGGCATCTGGACTCAGCACAGGGAATGTGATCACTGTCACTGTCCTCCTGTTGTTCATCGATTTGCTCGAGCGGGCCCAGTAACGTCTCCATCGTGACTTATTGTTACTGTGTTTGGCATATTGAATACGTCACGGGTAGCTTGCCAGGCTTTGCCGTGAGGGCGATATACTCTCAGCAGCTTGCTGGGCTCTCTGAGGGGGGCAGAGGAATCGAACCTGGCTCGGCCAGGCCGGCTACGCACAAGGCAAACGCCCTAACCGCTGTGCTATCGCTCCAGCCCAGGAAATGTGATGTCAAAACTAAAAGAAAAATAGTAGGAGACTAAGATCCAAGGCCAGGGGCAACAGGGGCCAGGACTGGTCCATGGCTGGAAGCTTGCCAGAAGTGGGTGGGACGAAGGGCAGTTAGGACAGAGAAGGGACTTTGATGACAACGGTAGCTGGAAATGGTCACTCTGGACAGGATCTGAGTGCTAAAAGGAGGTGAAGGGATATGCATGGCGACCTTTCAGTACTTCTGAATCAGAATGCCCAAAACGCCAGAGAGAAAGAGAAAAGTGCTTGACTCGAAGGCAGGCTGGGGTGGGGGTAGCGGTGTTGGGAGGGAAACTGGGGATATTGGTGGTGGGAAATGTGCTCTGGTGATGGAACACTGTAGGACTGAAACCCAATCATGAACAACTTTGTAACTGTGTATCTGCGACTTAATTAAAAAATTAATTTAAAAAAATCTCAAAAAGACAAAACAAAAACCTCACCAAAGAAAAGGCCAGCCAGTCGCCATCCTCCAGAGGCCACTGGACAGTCAGGTTTGGGCTGTCAGTGACGAGACACGCGGGGCCTCACAGGATGGGGGTGGAGCTGGCCCTTTCCTCCCTGTCTCAACGAGACCCCGAGTTGCCGCCCACGAACGGCCTCTGTGGCTCCTGATCAAGCTGCTTAACGGCCATGATCCCAGAGACTCAGGAACAAATCTCGGAACCCAGCAGGTTTGGGCAGAAATCCCTCCAGATTTGAGTGTTAAAATTCCGGAAATTTCAAAATCGCACGGCCACTACTGCGGCTGCGCGACATATGTTATTCATAACCAGCAACAGAAAACAAATTGTTTAATGTTGCCTTTTTGGCAGATCTGAGTATTGGGGTAAAATCCCAAATAATAATGGTGGGTCTGGTGTCGAAATATTGAATGTAATTGAAGTAGAGAAAGTAATGTGAAAATCATTTGCCCCACAAGTAGGGGGAGGGTGTGGGATGGGGGTATACTGGGGTTTTTGGGGGTGGAGAATGGGCACTGGTGAAGGGGCGGGTGTTTCATTGTATGATCGAGACTTAAACCCAAAAGCTTTGTAACTGCTCTCATGGTGATTCAATAAATAAAATGATAAAAAATGGAAAAAAAAAAAGTAAGGTGGAGATCATGCCCAATTCAATCAGCCTAATCAGTGGCTGAATAAATAACAGTATTCCTACATTTAAAAAAAAAAAAAGAAAAAGCCAGCCAGGGTAGGGCCACCTCCAGGAGCAAGGGCTTATTTCACCCCTGGGGGAAACCCCGGGCAAGTTCGTGTCTTCTCTGCTGCCTGCCTGGGGCCCAAACACGCCTTTCCCGAAGCCTCCCGGGCAGCTTCTCACCAGTGATTTCTCACTTGAAAAGACCCCTGGGGGGCTGGAGAGTCAGGGTGGCGAGTAGGACACTTGCTTTGTACACAGCTGATCTGGGTTCAATCCCCAGCACCCCATAGGGTCTCCTGAGCCCCACCAGGAGTGACCGCTGAGCACAGAGCCAGGAGCGAGCTGTGAATATCGCCAGGTGTGGCCCCCAAACTTCTTAAAAAAACAATTCTCACCTGGGGGCTGGCCAGGGAGGTGCTCAAAGGGACGCAACAGGCCTTGGGTGCAGGAGGCCTATGTTGGCCCCCAGAACACCTCTGGGAGCAAACCCTGAGTGTGTGACCCCAAAACAAATGGAGATGAAACTGTCCATCTGTTCCCTTTTCATTTTCTTTTTTTTTTTTCCTTTTTGGGTGACACCTGGCGAATTTCAGGACTTACTCCTGGCTCTGTACTCAGGAATCACTCCTGGCGGTGCTCAGGGGACCATATGGGATGCCAGGGATCGACCCCGGGTCAGCCATGTGTAAGGCAAACACCCTCCTTGCTATGCTATCACTCTGCCTGGCCCCCCCACTTTATTTTTGTCGTGTTTTCTTGCCACTCAGCTATGCTCAGGCCGACTCCTGACTCTGCTCCGGGATCATTCCTGGCAGGCTTTGTGGACCACATGGGGTCCTGCGGAACAAACCAGGGTTGGCCCTGCACCACCTATCCACTTTTTTTTTTTTTGGTGTTTGGGTCACACCCGGCGACGCTCAGGGGTTACTCCTGGCTCTGCACTCAGGAATTACTCATGGTGGTGCCTGGGGGACCATATGGGATGATGGGGATTGAACCTGGGCCGGACGTGCGTGAGGCAAACACCCTCTCCGTTATACTGTCACTCCGGTCCCTCCACTATTTTTGGTAACAGATGCTGCTGCTTCTCAGGGCAGGCAAACACGCTTTGGCCTCCATGTGTTCACCGCGAATGTGCTCAGAGCATCCTGGGGCACAGCAATACTGGCATTTCCTAGTAGGTCCCCCCGACTCTTGCCAGCCCCAGCTTTTAGACCACACCACGTGGCGGTCAGGGATGACTCCTGGGAGGGCTTGCGGGAACATAAGGGGATCTAGCCTGGCTGCATGCAAGGCGAGCGCCCTACCCGCTGTAGGATCTTGGCCCGTGTCACCAAGTTCTCGGGAACTTGGGGCCCGGGGATGTGGCCCAGGAGAACGCTGGGTCTGGGCTCAATCTTGGCACTGCCACCAAAATAAAATAGCAGGACCAGAGCAACTGGTCCTGGAGTAAGCTACTCAGGAGTGAGCCCTGAGCACCACTGGGTTGGGCCCCAAACAAAATAAGACCAAATAAAGCATCAGGCAGGGGAGGAGGTGGGCGCCAGCTTCTCCCAGGGCCTGCGAGCGGGGCAGTGGCTAAAGTGCCTGGAGCTGGGCCGGGAAAGAGGCTCCAGCCCAGAAGCTGCCCCCTGACCCCACAGAGGGTACCTGGGTAGGGGGAAGGCGCCCGTGTCCCCCTGTACCACCCACATCCCAGCCCTGACAGGTGGCCCAGCGGCTCCCCCGGGCCCAACTGTCTTGTCCGGTCATTGGTGGGAAAAGCTTCTATGAAAATAGGGTTTTTTTTTTTGCTTTTTGGGTCACACCTGGCGATGCACAGGAGTCACTCCTGGCTCATGCACTCAGGAATTACTCCTGGTGGAGCTCGGGGGGGGGGGGGGGGGGGCAATATGGGATGTTGGAAATTGAACCTGGGTCGGCCGCGTGCAAGGCAAACGCCCTACCCGCTGTGCTATTGCTCCAGCCCCCGAAAATAGTTTTTTGTTCAAGTATTTGTGGAAAAAAAGGACATTATTCGGTGCACTGTATTTAACAAAGAAACTGAAGGCCAAAGTCACATGGTGGGGGTCACCCCCCTCCCCATGGTCCCCTGAGCCCCCCGGGAGTGATCCGAGTGCAGAGCCGGGAGTCAGCCCAGCGCCAGCCAGGTGTGGCCCTCAAACTAGAGAGCAACAGAAACCCCAAGTGGGGCTGGAGAGGACGCTTGTCGTGCACACAGACGACAGGGGTTCCGCCCCGAACCCCATTTGGTCCGCTGAGCTCTTCCAGGAATCCTTCAGCTCAGAGCCAGGAGTGAGCCCTGAGCACTGCCTGGCGGGGTCCAAAACCAAAAAGAAAAACAATCTGCCTGAGTCACCAACGTAGCTCAGAGCGTTTCCAGTTCGGATCTTGGTCCTGCAGCTCCCCACCCCACCTGCTCCCACCCAACACCTTCCCGCCACGGCATCACGCAGACCTTGGCAGAGGGAGGCCGGGAGAGGGGTGGGGCAGGGGAGGAGAGGGAGGGCAGGGGGCAGGGGAGGGAAGAAAGGGCAGAGGCAGGGCCCCTCCCCATGCAGCGCTCTCACCTTTCCTGAGCCCCAGGTGGGCCCCTAATTCCTTCCTCCCAGCCCCCCACCCCCAGCAAAGGAAAAGGCGGGACCAGATTCCTCCCAGTAAGAATTTTTTAATGGCTTAAAAATGAGCCTGTACAAAACCCGCCGTCTTCCGCTCCTCCCAGCTGGCCCCGGTGTCCCGTGAGCTCTATCTCTTCGGCCAGTTGTGCCTGAACCCTCTGCGGAGATACAGGAAAGAGGCTCGCTCCCTCCACCCCTGCAACTCCCATGCTCTCCCCGCTCCCGGGGCCGGCCTGGGAGGTTGGTTCCAAGGGTTCTGAGTCCACGGGTCACTCCTGGTGGTCACGGGGGCCAAAGCCCGTCGGCTGTGAGCAGGGCGAGCACCTGCCGGCAGGACCCCCTCTCTGGCTCCGGAATTAAGCAATGACGTACCCGGGAGGGGTGTGCAGAGGGGACTCAGGGCCTCACGCACAGGCGAGGGGCGTGCCTGACCCAAGTCACACCCCTGGGCTTACAAGGCCCTCATTTTAAATTCTGGGACCCCCTGCCACCCCCGGCAAAGCTTGGGGTTTAGTCCTGCGGGATCATGCCCGGCAGGGCGTGGGCGTGGGGGTTCCCTACGGGGTGCTGGGGAGCAAGTCTGCGCTGGCTGTGTGCGAAGCGAGAGCCCTGGCACCACGCTGTCTCCGACGCCTGAAAGATCCTCAGTCACTCTCTGAGGAAACGTCAGGAAACCAGATTCCCCGTTCAGGTGTCAAAGGTTTACAGGGCCCCTCATGCCCCACCAACAGTGCTCTGGGCTCAGGGCGGTGAGGTGCTGGGGCCCCGGGTGCCGGCCTGCGGCCCACCTACCTGTCCGACTTCCCCGTCGGGAAGGACATGCTTTTGTTCCCTGTGGTCTGCTTGAGCTTTTTGGCTGCAAAGCATTTCTGGGAGAGGGAAACTGTGTTTCAGGGGTGAGGGCGTCCCTGCACGTGCGTGCTGGGGAGTGGGGGGCTGTACAGGGAGGAGTGAGGGCGACACATCCGCCCCGCCCCCCCCCCCCCCGCACCCTCAGTGCCGCTGCCCCAGGGGGGAGTGGGTGTGGGGGGCTCTCAAGCTGGGGGTCTCACCTTGCCAGCCACAGGCTGCTTATTGGGGTCGAACTGGGCGGCCGGTTTGGTTTTGCCGTTCCCTGAAGGGCAACAAAGAGGTGCCCGGGCACGGATGAGCCCCAGGGCCTGCCAAGACTCGAGCGAGCTCCCCGAGCACAGCTCTGTGCTCTGGGGGTGTGGTGGGTGGGGGAGCTCCCGGGGTCGCTGTAACCGGTGCCACCCTGGGAACCAGCCCCCTCCCACACGTGCTGGCGGCGCCACCCACAGCCCACAGGCCGGGCCTCACCCGCAAAGGCCTGGAAGTCAGACGAGCCGTAGTCGAAGGGGGTGAACTCTTTCTCGGGCGCCTCCTCGGGCTCCTCGGGCTTCTTGGGCACTTTGGGCCGTTTCTTCCCTTGCTTCTGGTCGGGGGCGCCGGGGTCACTGGCCGCTCGCTCTCGCTTCTTGGCAGCATTTTCACGCTGTGGGGACAGGGAAGGGGGCAGGGAGAAGGTGAGGCTGAGGAGAGGCCGCAGGCGACACCCAGGGCTCTGCCACTGCCCCTGCTGGTGTGTGTGTGTGTGTGTCCCCACCCTAAACACACGCAAGCCTTCCCGAGGGGGGGACGGTGGGGGGACGGTGGGGGGACGGTGGGGAGACACGGCCAGCAGTTGAGCTGGAGGCCTGAACATCAGCTCTGCCTGCAGGCGCCCAGGTTCAAGCCCTCAGCACCCAGAAGTGACTCCGGAGCACGAGCGGGTGTGGGTCCCCCTGAACACAGCAGGTGCACGTGTGGCTGGCGAGGAGGCCAGGCGGCACCTACGGCGATCTGCTGGCGCACGGACAGGGCCGGCTCTGCGGGCGTCTGCGGCTCCTGCTTGGCCTCCTCCGGGGCAGCTGCAAGACAAGGTCCGGGCGCTTGGTGCTGGGGCGGCCGACTCCCGGCTCCAGCTCTTGTGCCTACCGCACCTCATCCCTCGGCCCACCCCGCCCGGCAGCCTCTCGACCCAGGTCCCAGCCCCCCACCACTGCAGCGCCCATGCCCAGGCCCTTCCTTCCCCGGAGACGCGGCGTCCTGCTGCCCTGCCTGTCCCCTCACGGGCCAGCTGCATGGCCAGCCGGGATTCATGCCGAGGGCAGGCCGCGGAGAGGCGCTACCTGTGGGCTGGGCCACGCTCTTCCTGGCCGTGTCCTTAGAGTCCTTCTGTCCCTGCGCCTGGCTGGCCAGTTTCCAGCGGTTGCTGATCTACAATGAGAAGAGACAGAATGGAACAGGCCTTGCTCAGCCACCCACGGCCGCTTCACTCGGACGGGGTCAGTGGATCGAAGAGCCACAGGCTTCTTCTGGGAGGGGTTTTGGATAACACTCGACGATGCTCAGGGGCTACTCCTGGCTCTGGACTCAGCAATCACTCCTGGCAGTGCTCTGGAGGACCATATGGGATGCTGGGAATCGAACTCAGGTCGGCTGCGTGCAAGAAAAGTGCCCTCCCTACTGTGCTATCACTCCAGCCCCTGAACCATCCACGCTCTGAGCTGCGGATTCCAAACAGAACCACAGCAAGCCCTGCACTAGCCTGACTGATTTAGGACTTTATTGATTTACGGCTCTGATGTTGGGTTAGCTGCCCCCAGTGCCAGGACAGAGGAATCACATCCTCTCTGAAGCAGGAAATGGCTCAGGACACTCCTGGATGACTGGCGGAGGACAAGGCTGAGCCACAGCCGGTGGGGCCCAGGGAGAGAGAACACAGCCAGCACACAGATGGCCCGGCTGGAGCCAACGACCCATGGCACCTGCCTACCCTGCGCAGGGGACGTGGCGCCCAGGGCTGGCCGGGCAGGGAGTGGGGAGGGGAGTTGCTACTCCGCATGCCGCTGACACAGAGCAACCGGGTCCGGCCTGGGAGGGCGAATCCCACTGCCGAGACACTGACAGTCACAGTCAGCTCCAGGCCTGCTGCTGGGAGACCCCGGCTCTTGGGGGCGCGGGTCCCCTCTGCTGAGGACGCCACTTACTTCGTAGATCTTCGAGGAAGGGTCAAACTTGGCTGCTTGGGAAATGTGAGCGTGTTGTTCGAGGGCCGGCAGGAACTGTGGGGAGGGACAAGGCCTGGTCAGCGGCGGAAGCAGTGCACGTTGGGCCCACTTCTCAGGCACTCACCCGGGGCTCTCTGGGAGGACCCCTCTTGGGAGCCCGTGACTCGAGTCCCACCCTGGACCACCTGGCCGGTCTGAGTGTCCAGACAGAGGGCTCCTTCCCCATGCCAGTCCCGCCAGCCCTGCAGTGGCTCCTGCCTACCATCCGAAATGGGTTCTCGAAGGACTCCATGATGCTCCGGGCTTTCTTCTGGGCTACCGTCAGGGGGGCCTGGGCGTCTTCCTCAGCACTTGGCTCCTACGGGCGCAGACAGAAAATGGTCACCACAACCGTTTGTGATGCGAAGACGTGAAGCAGAGAATAAGGAGCGCGATCAGTAACTTAATTCATTAGTAACTTAATTTGCTCTGGGGCGGGAGGGGCCCATGGGGGCAGGCCCAGCCCCAGGACTCCAGCACCCCCAGCCTGTGCTCCCCGAGTTTCTGTTTGGTCAAAACAGAGTCCAGGGGTGAGGTGCTTCCCTACTCACAGCAGACCCGGGTCTGAGGCCTGGGCCCCGCCAGGAGTGAGCCCTGAGTGCAGCTGGGGTCCCCCAAACAAAAACAAAAAGGTTACTGTCCTGGCGGAGTGGGGAGGGGGCTTTCTGCCAACAAGGGGAAGATGGGACGGGCCGGACTTGGACGCTCCATTACCTCGAGCCCGTTTCTCCTGCTAACGGTGACCCACCACGCCCCGGAGCACTCACGAGGGAGCCCCAATCCAGGCCCCGGCCTATTGGGGGTCTCTGAACGCAGGTTGAGTCCAGCCCACTGACTTCAGCTCTGGGGTGGGCCATGTCACGGGGACAAGAGGACAGAGCGGCTGGACTGTATCTGCATGGAGGACGCGGGCCTGGGGGGGCCACGTCAGGTCTCTACATGGACAGTGAGCTCAGAATAGGCTCCAACCGTCCGCCCGGCGCTGTCCCCAGGCCGCAGTCTCTCTCAGAGCACACGCTGCCCCCAGCTCCTCGCTCTGCCCACAAGCACAGGGCAGAGCGATGCCGAGTCCACTCTGGGCACAGGTGCACTCGAGGGGACAGCCTGTGCGGCCAGAGGGTCCACGACCCTGAGGACGGGCAGCAGGTTGGGTTGAGGTGAGCCCAGAGCACCCCCCCACAGCCTCGCCAGCCCGGCCACTGCAGCCGAGGCGGATCCAGCCCCGGGACGTGCCTGGGCGGCACTCACGTTAAACAAGGTGATCACGGCCCTGGCCACGAGGCAGCTGGTGGCCAGCAGGGCTTCCTCCTCCGGCTGGTCTGCAAAGAGGCTGGCCTGTCTCCGCTCCGGCACGGGCCCTGGTGGGGGGGGGGGAAGCAGGCACGTCAGACCCCCGGGTGTGCACAGATGGGGCCCGGGTCCCCAAGCTCTAGGGGGGCTGCCGTTACCACTGCTGGGGACGCCAGGACAGCCGTCTGCCGGGGTGTGGGAGCAGTCGTGAGGGCCAAAGAGGACGTTCTCCAGTCTCTGCGGGGAGAAGGCACCAAGGGTCTGAGTCTCTGCTGGCCGCCGGCTGGCGGGGACACCCACAGGGACAGAGATGACACCCGTGCCTACCTCAGGGTTGGGCAGCGGCCCGCTCTTTCGCACCCCGGAGGTGACTTCCGACTGAGGAGGAAAAGGGCGTGAGAAGCTGCCTGCAAAGGCCCACCCAGCGCCCTCCGGAGCCAAGAGACGAGCAGGGAATGGGGTCCACCCCAACGTTGCCTTCCCCTCCGGGGGTGACCCTGAGACTTCCTGCTCCAACCACCTTTCAAGGGCCCTGACGCAGGTCTGAGTTGCTTCTGCCGAGCACAGATGAGAACACGGGCCCCACGGTGCACCCGGGGCCACTGCAGCAGGGAGCAGGCCCGGGAACGCGGGGGCGGGGCACCCCTCGGGATGCGTCGGGGCTCTGGCCCGACAACCTGTTTTCTTCCAGGGCCCTTGTTTGGGAGCCACAGTGGGGGGACTCAGGGGTCGCTCCCAGCGTGCTTGGGAACCAGGCACCCCCCACTGCCCTCCATGTGCAGAGCCTGCAGCCCCCACCCTGGAGAGCTTCCAGGGAGGCCGCCCATCCATCAGCACCCTCCTTACAGGGCAGCAGGGAGCACCTAGGACAGGGTGCCGGGCACCTGCGGACACTGTAGTGGCCCCTCCCAGCTCAGGCCACGCCCCTTAAGCAGGCCCGGATAGTCCAAGGGGCCACGGGTGAGAGCCGCCTGAGCGGGGACCTCGGCTTGAGACTAGGGCAGCGTTTAGGGGACCGTGTGGGGGTCCTCCCCTGTCTCTGAGCCTTGGCGCCTGCCGGCTAGACAGAGCAGCCAGTGTGTAGAGGTGCCGGGGGCGCGGGGGGGTGAGCGGCAGGGGCCGGCAGTGCCCTACCTTGAGCAGCGGCATCTCTCGCGCCTGCTGGACCAGAAGATGCAGCTCGTTGAGCTGCTGCCGCACGAGAGGAGGGACGGGGCTGCAGCAGGCGATGATGCCCTGAGGCTCCCTGCACGGGGAGGACAGTCACCACCACGGCCAGCCAGCCACGCTGCCGCAGGACGGACAGCACACACCCTGAGCTCAAAGGCTGCGGGAACCAGAGCTCCGGCGCGGATGCCACTGAGACCTCAACTAGCGGCACACAGAGATCCTGCAACGTCCCCGGCAAGGCTGGGGGGCCCGAGAGTCTGCGGCTCTGCCCCTTCACAGGCGCTGACGGCGGGCCCCGCTTCCCGGCTGACACCAGCCTGTGACCTTCACCCCACGGGCACCACGGCCACTGGCCCTGAAAACCACTGCCCAGTGCACGGTCTCCTCGGACACTGCCCCCTGCAGTGACCACCTGGCAGCGTGACTACCGAGGGCCCCAGCCCTGGACACGGACAGGGAACATCCCCAGCCCCCAGCCCTGGACAGACAAGGTACCGTGCCAAGCCCAGTCGACTCACTTGGGAAGCTCCTCTGCGATCTTGAGCATCATGTGGTTCGGCAGGACGTAGCTGGAACAGACACAAGAGTCACACTCTCCACTCAGCCAGGGGACACGAGAGTCACACTCCACTCAGCCAGCGAAGCCCGTCCCCATGCTCTAACCAGCAAGATGCCCGTTTCTCCTCGGTTCAGACCCGCTCCAACTAGAAGCCTCTAGGAAACAAGTCTTGGAGATCAAATTTTGGTCATGGGTCACTCTTGGAGGTGCTCAGGGGCTGAGCCCAGCACTCTGCTCCAGGAAGACCTTTGTTTGTTTGGGGCCACACTGACGGGTCCTCAAGCGTCACTTCTTGTGGTGCTCAGGGGATTATGAGATGCCGGGGATCAAATCTGGGTTGGTGCCTGCAGGGTGAGCGCCCTCCCTGGTGGACTAATACTCTGGCCCCCTTGGGGTCACTTCTGACAGTGCTTCTCGGGGACCCTGTGGGGCCAGCTCAGCCCCAGCCTCACAGGGAAGCCCCAGGCCATTGCGCCATGCCCAGCCTCAGCCTCCCGGGCTCAGCCCCTCACCCGTAGCTCTCATCCTCCCTCCGGGCCGTCTTGTCCCTCCAGGCGAACAGCAGCTGGAAGGCTGTCAGCTGCTGTGTGTTGAGATGCTTCTTCTGCTTCCTGTACAGCTCCAGGTAGGACTCATCCGTGAAGATCGGCTTGACGAATTTCTACAAAATACCAGCGACTACTCAGTATCAGTGGGAACCCAGACATTCCCTGGGCTACTTCGAACCAGGGGATCACTGTCTGGGCCACACCGGGTGGTTCAGTGCTAAGGGCTCACTCCCGGCAGGGCGTGGGCACCACACGGGGTGCTGGGGACCGAACCCGGGTCTGTCTCGTGCAAGGCGAGCGCCCTCCCTCTGGCCCTCCCAGGGCTCCCTTCTCACAAAGGGAGAGGCAGGAGCAGCCGAGGCCGTGGGGGCCCTGGGAGCCGCACCTTGAGGCAGATGTCCCGGCTCCGCTGCCACACCACGCGGGCCTGCACGGGCTGCTCGCCCCCGCGCGCCCACAGCTCCAGCCTCATGCGGTCGTAGATGTAGAGCAGGTAGTGGGTGTCAGCGCGGGCGTAGTGGAGCATTTCCGCGGGCAAAGGCCTGCAGGCACAGAGGACACCGCGCCCTTGGAGGTGGAAGATGGGTGAAAGCCAACACCACACACGCAACCACATCTTCCTGCAGCAAACACCACCAGGCACAGTGCCCAGGGAGAGTCAGAGAGGGCCGCGGGGTACGGATGTGGGGAACAAGGGGCCCGCTGGAGCACAGGACAGTGGGCCGGGCACTTCGCCTTGCGTGCAGCTGACCCGGCCTGGATTCTTCGCCCCCCATCCGGCCCCCAGGCCTGCCAGGAGAAGGTCCTGAGCACCTCCATGTATGGCCCCAAACCAAAAAAATAAAGGGAGAGGGGCTGGCGCTCATAGGGAGGGGGTCTGCCCTGCATCTAGATGACCAGGTTCAATCCCCAGCATCCCATATGGTTCCCTGAGCTTGCCAAGAGTAATTCCCGAGCACAGAGCCAAGCGTAACACTGAGCATTGCTGGGTGTGATCCAAAATCCTGAAAAAAAAAAAAAAAACCCCCACCCAAACAGAAGTAGGGAGTGATTTTCTGATTTTCCTATGAGGGAGTCTGGGCCACACCCCTCAGTGCTGACGGTCACCACTGGCTCTGTGCTCGGGGGACGGTGCGTGGTGGCAGGGAAGGGGCCACAGCCAGCGGCGTGCAAGGCGGCGTCTTCCCCAGAGGGCCAGACTTTTCGCTTTTTGTTTCTGGGTCTGCTTCTGACTTTGCGCTCAGGTACTGCTCCAGGTGGGCTCTGGGGACCATTATGGGGTCCCGGGGATCAAACCTGGATCTGCAGCTTGCAAGGCAAGCGCCCCAGTGCCCCGGCCCCCGAGAGAGAAGCCAGCCACTTGGAAGCGACCCTGCAGGCAAGACGATGATCTGACTCTGGGGCAGACGCTTCTCACAGGCCTAACCAACTCAGTGCCTCAGGGCCTCTCAGACTCTCCCGAGAGCATCTCACACACACACAGACTGGGTTCCACTGAGACCCGCGTGGACAAACACTGCCATGACTGTCCGTCTTCTCTTGACCACTGTTTCCACGAAGCCAGGGGAACTGATCTCAGATTAACCTAAGAATTCCTGTTGTGGGGGCTGGAGTGATAGCACAGCGGGAGGGCCTTTGCCTTGCATGCGGCCGACCCGGGGTTTGATCCCCAGCATCCCAGAGGGTCCCCTGAGCACTGCCAGGAGTAATTCCTGAGTGCAGAGCAGGGAGTCAGCCCTGAACACTGCTGGGTGGGACCCAAAAAGTAAAAAAAAATATATAAATAAATAAAAAGACTTCCTGTTGTACTTATGCGCATGCAAACAGCCATCCACATTCACCCCGAGACCTCAACAGTGTTACAGCCTGGACACGCGTCTCTGCCCAGGAGGCCGCGCACTGACCGGATCCTCCAGTCGGCCAGCTGGTACTGCTTGTTGGACTCCACGCCGCAGTAGACCTTCAGCAGGTGGTCCAGGGAGTGGCGGCCCAGGCTGAGGAGACGCGCGGCCTGGTGGGTGTCGAACATGTTCACCACATACAGCCCGAAGTCCTTCTGCAGCCACTCGATGTCAGAATCCGCACCGTGGAAGACCTGGGACAAAGCCACCGTCACGCAGGGTGACAACAGGGGCCACTTGCACTCTGGAGACCAGTGGCCTCCGGTGTGAGGCAAGGGCTCTCCTGCTCAGCCGCGGCCGGGGTCGGTTGCAAACGCCTATTCTGACGTGGGCTTCAGCGCTCCACTCCTGAGACACATTCTCAGAGGCAGGAACTGCTGCTGGAGCAGCGGGTCTAGCTCCCAGTGCCAGCATTAAGGCCAAACGAGCTGGAGAGCTGCCGTGGGAGGCAGGGAGCTCGGCTCACCGGGGTCGCAGCGGCCGCAACACTGGTTCAAACCCTGGCACCACGTCTGTGGCCCTGAGCACCGCTAAGGGGTACTTCTAGTGCCAGATGTGGCCGAACCCTCCCCTGCAAAATTGGGGTTTAATTCCCAGCATCCCACACGGTCCTTCTAGCACCCCCAGGAGTAATTCCTGAGTGCAGTGCCAGGAGGAACTCCTGAGAATCTCTGGGTGTGGTTCAAAACCAAACCAAACAAAACAAAAAGAAAAGATTCAGCATCTTCCCGGGAGGTGAAGTGCTTTGTCTGAGCTCTGTGTTCTGGGCCATACCCGGCGGTGCTCAGGGCTCACTCCAGCCGGGAGCTGGCCGGGCCGGGCCAGCGCCGGAGCAGGCGGCTGACCTTGACGATGGCGGGGTCCGTGAAGCTCTCGTTGAGGATGTACATGTCACTGCGCAGCTCCAGCGTGTCGATGATGAAATCCTCGGTGCGGGTGGAGATCTGCATCAGGCAGGTCAGGCCCAGGAAGCTCCGGTAGGAGTGGTGCTAGCAGGGCGGAGAGGATGTGGCTGTCCTGGGCTCTGTCCGCGGCTCCGTGGGCAGCGTGAGACCCACAGTGCAGGGCGCACGAGCTCCAACCGCGCTTCTCAGCGGCGATAACCCAACGCCTCCCCCTCGCTCATGCCCAGGCTACCTCCAAGTCCACGGCGAATTCCTGACACGCCAGGAGCTTCTCGTTGAGTTCCGCGAGCTGCTCCAGCGAGGTGACAAAGTGGCAGGGCGTTTCCTCCACGGGCCTGTAGGTCTGCGTCCCAGAGCACAGGAGAGAGGCAGTGGGCAACCAGCCACCACCAAAACGCAAACAGGGCCAGGAATTCACAGGAAGCCCAGCGTGCTTCGACGGATCTTTCCTGTTCTTCCCGACCACCAAGGGCCACCCCGAGACCACATCTGGCACTGACCTGGGGCTGAGGCTTCTGAAGCGCTGAATCCGGGGGGGTGAAATGATCGAGTTCATACTGATATGGATGTGCAAACCTGCATACATCAAAACTCGGTTAACAAATGACAGTACGGCGATGGGACTGGGTCAGTCATGTGCAAGGCCAGTGTCCTGCCTGCTGCACCATCGCTCTGCCCAGGTTTCTAAATTTTTTTTGGGGGGGATGGGTGGGGACAGCTTGGGCATCACCCAGAGGTGCCCAGGAGTCATCCCTGACAGTGCTCAGGGGCCATGTGCAATGCTGGGATCAAACCACAGCCTTCACCCCACCCCAGCCTGACCCAGAGCCCCACGGTCTCTAATCTGTACTTATGTAGAGGCTCTGGGCTATATCCAGAATCATTTATGATTTACCTAGCTTGGCTTCTGGAGTCAGACCCAGCAGCATGAAAGCAGCACGAAAGGGTGACTCCTGGCAGTGCTGGGAGAACCTTATGTGAGGTTGGGGTCAGCACATGCAACGCAAGCAAACACCCTACCGCTGGGACTATCTTTTGGGCCCAGATATGTCTAATTCCATTACAAATTGAGGCCGGAACAATAGTACAGTGGGGAGGGTGCTTGTCTTGCACAGGGTTGACCCGGGTTTGACCCCTGGCATCCCATGTGGTCCTCTGAAATTCCCCAAGAGTAATTACTGAGTGCAGAGCCAGGAGTAACCCCTGGGCATCGCTGTGGGTGATTCAACCCCTCCCCCCCAATTTTTTTTTTAATCAAAATATTAAAAAATCAAGGGGCCAGAGGCACAGCAGGAAGGGTACTTGCCTTTGACGGGGCCAACCCAGATTTGGTCCCTAGCACCCCATAGGGTCCCCAGAGCCCCACCTGGAGTAATCCCTGAGTAGAGCCAGGAGTAAGCAGAGAGAACTGCTGGATGCCCCCCCCACCCCCCGTGGTCTCTACCACAGGGCTGGAAGCACCCCGAGGTGGCCAAGACCTGCTTGACTGTGCTTGCAGGACTGCGCACAGGGCAGGAGGCCCTACCGGGGAAGGTGAATTCACTCACTTCTTTTTTCCATTTGCTTTTTGGGTCACATCCAGTGATGCTCAGGGGGCCCTACTGGGCTGCTGGGGCTCGAACCTGGGTTGGCTGCATGCAAGGCAAACGCCCTACCCTCTGTGCTACAGCCCCGCCCCCCCCACCCTACTCTGCGCTTCCTGTCGCACAGAGGGAGACAGGAACTGCGGGGTCAGGCACCCACACTCACATGTCCTGCTCCACCCGCTGGGTGCGCTGCTGGTGGAGGAAGTCGGCCAGGGCAGGGGGCACGTCCAGGTCCTCCGGCCGGTCCTTGGGGCGCTCCCGACTTTCCTTGGACAGCGCTAGAGATGGAAGCAGGCCGAGGGTCGCGCGGCTCCACCCCTCGAAGGGAAGCTTCCCGAGAACCTGTCCCGGGCTGGAGGCCCCCGCTTACCCAGAGGGAGGGGTTTCTGGGCATTTGGCTTGACGAAGATCTTCGGAACAAACGGCGTGTTGGAATTGTCAACCTTCTCTCGGAACTTAAGCTGTGGCCGCACGATATTCTTCGCATGGAGCAGCCGGAATGTTTCCGATTTCGTTTTTTTGCTATACTCTCCCGCCTGTGATCAACAAATAGTTCAGAACACACGGAATAACAAGCCAGGGCGGGAGCGGGAGAGAGTTTGCAAGTGGTGGCACCTCAGAGGGGTTCAATCCCAGCACTATACGTACAGTGCCCTGAAACCCACCAGGAGTGATCCCTGAGCAAAGCCGGGTGTGGTCCAACACCCCCGTCCCGTACCGCCCCCCACAAAAAAGCAAGAGCATCCCACATTCCTAGAATCACTGGCAGAAGAGTATGTGTGATGTGTGCAGACTGGCAGAACTGGGGCTGGTGCAGAGTGAAGCAGAGAGGGAGGGCGGAATGAGGTTGCGTTTATGAGAATAAGTGAGCTCCGTGTCCAACAACTAGAAGAAGAACAAGAACTTGAATGGGAAAAGCCCCTTTATTCCTCTTGGGGGTCGGTGGCTTCCCAGTTGGTGCTCCGGAGCCCCAGGGCCTTCCTGGCAATCTGGGCCGCAGTGGGAGGACTCAGTGCTGCTCAGGCCCCGGCACTAAACTTCTGGGCTGTCTCTCTGGCCCAAAGACCCTCACTGACAAAGCCGCCCACAGGAGCTCAAGACCCCTGACCCATCCTCACCTTCCGGTTCCAGCTGGACACTATGGTTTCGGGGACTCGCAGCCCCGTGGGCAGGATGGGTTGCTGGTTCTTACTCACACCAGACGCTTCGTCCAGTAAGATGCCCTGGCAGGCGGAGGAATATCAGCTTAGATCTTGTTAATTTTCCTTAATGACTTAAACTCCCAAGAGCATGATTTGGAAGATATGTGAGAACACACAGAAGGAGGGGAGAGGCTGAGGAGCTGACACAGGGGAGGGCGTTGGCCTTGCACACGGCCGGCCTGGGTTGGATCCCCGGCACCCATATGGTCCCCTGAGCATTGCCAGGAGTGATCCCTGAGTGCAGAGCCAGGAGTAACCCCTGAGCATCACAGGGCATGGCCCCCAATAAAAAAACAAAGTAGAAAAGGTGATTAGGCGTGTACCCAAGCGGTTCAAGTATTATTCGTTCTAAGACAGGGCAGCGATCAGCCACGCTCATCCCTTGGTTGATACTCCTGAAGCTATTCGGTGGCTGAAGACTGAGCTGGTGTACAAAGACCCTCGACTGCACGAAGGAAACACAGAAGCACAGATTCTGAGAACAGAGGCCGTGCTGTGGGCTGCTGAGGCACATGTGGACACGGACAGCTGGGCTGTCCAGAGCAGAACCTGACACCCTTGCTCGGGAGATGGGATGGCACTTGGTCTGGGGGTCAGGACAGGGGGACCGGGACCTCACTATGTGCAGAACCTCCCCAGCCACATGTGCTTTGCAGCTGTACCTCACGGTTAGGTTCTAGCACCAGACCTGCACACACGCACACACGCATGGCAAGTACTGCCTCCGGCCTGTCCTACAAGTCAGCGCGTCACAGGACTGGAGTCACAGTGAAAATGGCGCTAACCACCCGGGCCTCGAGAGCAGATGGCCCGAGTGCTCAGAATCGCAGCGTCCACGAGAGCCACCGAGAACCCAGCAGCTTTGTCTGCCAGCCTGGGGCTGCGCAGACTTCTGGCCGCACCAAGGTGTGTGCGAGCAGCACAAAAACGGGGTGTGGCCCCGGCAGGCACGAACTACCACATAAAAGAAATGCGCCGAGTTCCGGCTGGCTCCAGAGGCTGCTTCTCTGGCGACAGTCAGAGCTGCAGCTGGGGAGTTACTTGCAAGCAGGCACGCGGACAAGAGGCAGCCGTGTGAAGACGCCTGTGTCCCCTGAGCCTTGAATAGAGCCCAGGCCCTTACTCTGTTGTCGCTGTTCCAGGAAGATGCAACCAACAGGGGCCAGAGAGAGCGCGTGGCCCCAACGGCCGAGCACATGCTCCGCATGTCACGTGGGAGGCCCGGGTTCAAGCCCCAGCACCACCTGGTTCTCTGAGCACCTCCGGGGGGGTCACCGTGGAGCACGGCCGGTGCAGCTCACCTTCCGCCCCCTCCGAAAAGGGACCCAGGGAGGAAGGTGAAATACTCGCCACTCTTTCCAGGATAACATCGTTGGTGTCAACCAACAAATCAAACTTGTCCTCCAGCTCTGTCACTTTGCTGCGGTCCTTGATGTTGCTCCGACAGCCGTGGTACTGCATCACTCTGCTCATGCTGCGGATGGAGAGTGCGGTTAGTCTGTGGACCGCTTCTGCCAGGAGTCGACAGTCCGGGGAAAGCTCTGGAAGCGGAGGCCCCCTCGCTTCACTTTCCATCCGTCCCCCCTTCTTTCTACTCCCTGTGAGGAGGACTGAACCCAGGGTCTCAGGCATACAGGGCACGTACTACAGCACGGACAGCTACAGTCCCACACCCCCAAAGACTGCTCGGACCTTGACTCTGCCATGTACAGTGCTAAGTCAATGATGTCCTCCTGGTTAGCTGCCTTTATTTTGGGGCCAAGAGCCTTATTTCTTTTTTGGGGGGAGGCTCCCAAATTCAAGCCAAGGGACCCCACCTGCAATTCTTTTCTTTCTTTCTTTCTTTCTTTCTTTCTTTCTTTCTTTCTTTTGCTTTTTGGGTCACACCTGGCGATGCTCAGGGGTTACTCCTGGCTCTGCACTCAGGAGTTACTCCTGGTGGTGCTCAGGGGACCATATAGGATGCTGGGATTCAAACCCGGGTCGGCCGCGTGCAAGGCAAAAGCCCTACCCACTGTGCTATCTCTCCAGCCCCTGCAATTCTTTTCTTTCTCTCTTTTTAATTGCTTTCTGGGCCACACCCAGGAATGCTCAGGGGTTACTCCTGACTCTTCATTCAGGAATCACTTCTGGTGATGCTTTGGAGACCATATGGGACGTGGGGAATTGAACCCTGGTCGGCTGCATGCAAGGCAAACGCCCTCCCCGTTGTACTACTGCTCCGGCCCCTGCCAGCGGTTGAGCGGAGGCCAGAGGATGCCACACTGCTTGGGCTTTGCGGGGCTGGGGCTTACCAGGGACAGCCTGGCAGGACGGGGGGACCATGCGGTCCTGGGAATCAAACCAGGTTGAGGCACGTGCTCAGGTGCCGTAACCAAGGTACTAGCTCTCAGCTTCCTGCACTGAAACAAAAATTAGTTAGGGACCCGAGAGAGAGTACAGTGGGGAAGGAACTTGTCTCACACGTGGCTGAACTAGGTTTGATTCCTGGCACCCGACATGGTCCCCAGAGCACCGCCAGGAGGGATTCCGGAGTGCAGACCAGGAGTAACCCCAGAGCATGGCGAGCTGTGGCCCAAACCGCCCCCAAGAAAATAGACAGGTGACAGTACAATGGGTAAGGTGTCAGTCTTGCACACGGCCAACCGGGTTTGATCTCTCACACCACACGACATTCCTGAGTTCCGCCAAGAGCGATCTCTGAGCACCAAGCTAGGAGTCAGCCCTGAGCACTGCTGGGTGTGGCTGCCCCTTCCCCCCAGACCCAAGACCAAAAAAAAAAAAAAACCAACAACGACTGGAGGGGCCAGGGAGGTAATCAGAATGGCTGGGTGCATATCTAGCATACAGGAGCCCCAGGGTCCATCCTGGGCACTGAACGTGACCCTGGTGGCCCCCGAGCAGCAGAGAGTATTAACACTGATTAGCTGAGTATTGCTGGGAGTGGCCCCCAGCTGCCCCCCAATAAAAAGTTAAACCGAAAATTTATAAAACACCATTTCTCTAATCAAAATCCACGGTCTCATTTATAGCTTCTAAAATTCGGTTTGGGTTTCCCCCCTGCCACGGCCCTGGCTGTGCCCAGGGACATCACTCACTCCTAGCTGTTTTCAGGGGATCGCTCGGGCGGAGCTCAGAGGACCAGACGGGATGCCGGGGACGAACCCGGAAGGCACCTTACCCCCGTCTCTCGGTACTACCTCTTCGGCCCCGCATTCACACGCTTCCTGGCTCCTCACTGCACAGCAAGTGTAGGTGAGAAAAGACACACACACACACACACACCCTCCCTCCCCCCTACTGAAGCACGGAGACGCTCTCCACGACTGTCCGGACACACACCCACACTCCCCCCCCCCACCCCAATGAAGCACGGCTGTTTCTCACCCCGACCCCACAGAACCTACCACTGAAGCAGCCGGTCTCCCTGGGTCTCACAGAAGGCCTGGAAGCCGGGGAAACTCCGGTAAAAGTCATACTCGTCGCCGAACTGCGGCAGGCCCCCGGATGCCTTGGTGACAGCCACCACCGACCCGAGTGCAAACTGTTGCCAAGGAGAGCACAAGTTTCAGACGCGGAGTCCCGCCTGGCCCTCGGCAAGTCTGCCCGTTCCCGTTCCCGCCAGAGTGGGACGTTCACAGGGTTCATTTCGGACACACCTAACACCCACGAACTGCGGATTCAACCTCGGGCCTCCAGGCTGCAGGGGCAAAGCCTCAGGGCAAACGGAAAAGCAGCTTCCGGGGAGCAGTCGTTGGAGGGTAGGAGGGAGACTCTCATAGTACGGCAGTCTCGGTGTGATTCTGCGCACCACCACCCATTCGCTGTGCTCTTGGGTAAGTCATCTCATCACACACACGCACCCACGGGTGCACACATACACACACCCCACCCATGGGTGCTCACACAAACACCCATGGGTGCTCACACAGACACCCCATGGGTTCGCACATACACACACACAGACATGGGTGCTCACAGACAAACCCGCCCGTGCATGCTCATGCCCACACACCCATGAGTGCTCAGAGACACCCCCCGATGGGTGAACACAGACACCATCATCCACGGGTGCTCACACAGACACACCCACACCCATGGTTGCACACGCAGACACACACCCATACGTGCTCACACACACACCCATGGGTGCTCACAGACACCCATGGTGCACGCATACACATACCCATGGGTGCTCACATATACACACACACACCCATGGATGCTCACACATACACAACCATGGGTGCTCATGCCCACACACCCATGGGTGCACACATACACACCCTGCCTATGGGTGCTCACACAGACACACCCCCCCATGCGTGCTCACACACACCCATGGGTGCTCACACATACATACACACCCATGGGTGCTCACACATACATACACCCATGGGTGTTCATGCCCACACACCCATGGGTGCACACATACACACTCCCGCCAAGGGTGCTCACACACATACCCATGGGTGCTCATACCCACACACCCATGGGTGCTCACACACACACCCCCATGGGTGCACACATACATACCCCGCCCATGGGTGCTCACACAGACACAGACATGGGTGCTCATGCCCACACACCCATGGGTGCACACACAGACACACACTCATGCGTACTCACACACACACCCGTGGGTGTTCAGACACCCATGGTGCATGCATACACACACCCATGGGTGCTCACACATACACACACACCCACCCATGGGTGCTTACACAGACACACACACCCATGGGTGCTCACACATACACACACACACCTGTGGGTGCTCACACATACACACACACCCGTGGGTGCTCACACATACACACACCCCCATGGGTGCTCACACAGACACACACACCCCCATGGGTGCACACATACACACCCCGCCCATGGGTGCTCACACAGACACACACACACCCATGGGTGCTCACACACACACACACACACACACACACACACCTGTGGGTGCTCACATACACACCCTGCCCATGGGTGCTCACACATACACACACACACACACCCATGGGTGCTCACACATACACAGACATGGGTGCTCATGCCCACACACCCATGGGTGCACACACAGACACACACCCATGCGTGCTCACACACACACACGCGGGTGCTCACAGACACCCATGGGTGCTCACACAGCCCCCCCCCACGGGCGCTTAGTGGGCGCTGGGGCTGGAAGCGGGTCTCCCGCGGGTGAGCGTTCGTGGGGTCCTTCCTCGGGACGGTCCCCCCGGGCTCAACTCGACCCCCGCGCCCCCGCGCCCCCCGCGCCACGCACGCCAGGAGCCAGGAGCAGCCCCGGGCGCGACCCCGAGGAGCAGCGAGCCGGTGGCCGCGGGCGGCGCGCACGGGGCCGGCGAGGGGCGCGGCGGCGTCCGGCGGGCGCGGGCCCCGCGGCAGCAGCGGGCCGGGGCGCCCCCGGGGTCGAACCCGCGCCGGGCCCGCCCGCGGACTCACCTTCACGAAGCTGTCGGCGTCCGGGAAGCCCGGCAGCACCATCGCCTCGGGCTCGGCGGCCGGCGGGGCCTTGGGCGGCGCCATCTTGGCGGCCAGCATGGCATCTTCTCGCGAGAGCGCCGGGCCGCGCGTGCGCAGTGCGCCGGGGCGGGGCCGGGGGCGGGGCCGGCGGGGGGCGGGGCGCCCGGCTGGTCCGCGGGCGGGGCTGGCTGCAGCCGCCCCTGCTCGCCCGGGTTCGTTTCCGACGGGTCCCACGCAGGCCGCCTCCCGAGGGAGAGTCGGAACGGGGCCGCCGCGGTCGCGGCTCGGGAGGTGCATGCAGAGCCCCTCCGCCCTCACCCCAGGCCCCCGAAACCCCCGTGCGAGGGACCCTGGGGCTGGAGGGGCTGCACGGTAACCCCCTTGCAGCGGGCACGGCTTAAAACCGTTATGGGTTGGTGGCGGTGTTGCTCGGAATATCCCATCAGCGGCATCCCCCCCCCCCACTTAGTATGTCCTGGCAGCCACCAAATACCTGCGCACCTCCTCCGCCCCACCCCCAGGAGTGACCCCTGAGCACAGAGCCAGGAGTAAACCCTGAACACAGCCAGGTGTGGACCCCAAACAAAGCGGCAGCAAAATATGTGTATATGTAGATAGTATGTGTCTATGTATGTGTCTATATATGTGTGTATAAAGTCTTATGCATGAGTCTATAAGGATTAAAACGATTACTGCCTCTCTATTTTTGCGAGGGCCATACCCAACAGTGCTCGGGACTTAATCCAGGTTCTGCAGTCAGGAATTACGCCCGCCTGGTGGTGCCCAGAGGCCATATGGGACGCGGAGGATTGGCGCGCGCTGTACTCTCCTCCCTGCTACTAGCATCTCTTACTGAGACTTAGAACTGATTCTTTGGCAGGGGGCACCTGAAAGTGCGGCCGAATGCCAGGCAAGTACCATATTTTTGGGGGAACCACACCCAGTGGTAATCAGAGCTTTTTCCTGGCGCTGTGCTCAGTGAACACTCCTGGTGGTGCTTGGGGGCCATCTGGGGTACCAGGGACTGAACAGGGGTCAGCCATGTGTAAAGCCGGCCCTTCACCTCTAAGACTCTCTGGTCAGTGAACCTGAACAATTCGTATGGAGGACCCACTCAGCAGTGCTCAGCAACCACCCCCTGATGCAGTACCAGGGACTCAAGCCTGGGCCCTTTCACCCTACGATCTCTCCAGCCCCATTACTTCTGTTCCTGGATCTTCTAGCAAAACTTTAGGAAACGTCCCCACGGACGAGGTGAACTGAGTGGGGCTTCCGGTGCCCTCCACACTTCCCCCGCCTGGGAGAGCCCTGCTCCTGCCCCCAGCCTATTGTTGGCATCGGGGGTCCGACATAGGCCATGACACGGTCCTCGCCCACCTCTCCCCTCCAGCTGTTTGCTAGCTTGTCACTGTGGTGCCGCCCGCCTTCTGTTTGAATTCTACTTACTCTTCAGCAGGCCTGACTGGTGGCAGGGGGACTGTCTCCCTGGCCAACTTCCTCCCTGAGGCACCGAGTATCCCCCGTGCAGGCAGCAGTGTTCAGGTTGCATTTTGGCCTGGCCTGAGGAGATGGGTGAGGAACTGTGTGGGGAGGGGTGGGGAGAGTCCTAGAAGACCCAGAAGGCATTTTTTTTCTTTTTAACATTTACACACACACACACACACACACACACACACACACACACACACACATTCCTGTCTGGGAACACCTGTAAAGGTGATAAGAGGCTGCCCTAAAAGCTTCCATCCCTCTCGGAGAGCCTGGCAAGCTACCTGTGGCATACTCGATATGCCAAAATTTGTGACAATGATGGTCCTCATTCCCCTGACCCTGAAAGAGCCCCCAATATGCCATTGGGCTACAGTAGCATGTGACAGGGATGAATGGAGACGTTACTGGCGCCCGCTCGAGCAAACCGATGAACACCAGGGTGGTAGTGAACATTAATAAATGCATTGAAAACAAAACCTCAAAATTTGAGGACAACCAGCATTATTCAGCTGTGACCTTTTTTTTGAAACTTCACCTGGGGGCTAGAGGCCTAATACAATCATCCTACCTGACACCGCTCCGATCCTTGGCACAGCATAAAGTTCCCTGGGCACTGCCAGGAGCGATGGGTATACGGCAGAGCCGGGGTAAGCCCTGAGTACCGTGGGTGTGACCCCTAATCCCTCAAAAAATTAAAAAATAAAGGTTTACTTGGTCCTGTTTTCCACAGCATCGTTTGAATGCCCTCCTGTGCGGGCAGGCAGGTAGCTCAACTGGCGGGCATCAGTTTCCCATGCAGGAGACCCAAGTTCGATCCCCAGCATCACACGATCCCTTGAGCATTGCCAGAAGTGACCCCCGAGCACAGCCAGGAGAAGACCCTGAGCGCCGAGTGTGGCCCCCAAATTAAAAACACAAATGAACTTCTTGCTATTGAGCTGGGGGTGGGCCAGGCCGGCCCCATCCCCCCTTTGGAGTTCCCCTTTCGTTCCTATTATTCCCTACTGAGCACTGAGCCCAGCTGGATCGAGGTCAAAGTGTATGAGCCGCCGTTCTGAATATAAATGCACAGGCCAGAGAAACAGTGCAGCGGGCAAGGTGCTCCCCTTGGAGTGGCCAACTGGGTCCAATCCCTGGCACCCCTGATGGTTCCTTATGGCCCCGCCAGAAGTGATCCCTGGACACAGTGAGTCCTGAACTCCGCCAGGTGAGGGCCGTAAGACCAAAAACACAAAACAAAACAAAAACCAAACACAGGGCCGGTGGTGGTTGCGGGGGGGGGGGGGGGGGGGGGGGGGGGGAGGAGATGTTTCCGTCATTCGCCTTATCTGGCAAACTCCCACTCACGCTTCATGACCTGCCGCCAACGCCCCCTTCCCATGGACCTTCGCCCCCACCCCCCTGCAGGCTAAAGCTTGCCTTGTCTTTTCCGCTGCTCTGTGACACCCCCTCTGGCAGGCAGAGAGCCTCCGCACTCCCTAGGACACAGTTCCCTTCTGAACTAGTAAATAAACAGTCACTCCTGTTCCTGTTCTTAAAATTCTGATGTTATTTATTGGCACAAAACTGTGTCAGCTACAGCACGGGGTCTCAACGCGGCTGGATGCTGACTCTGCGTTTCCACCTGGGCCCAGACGCCCCCTCGTGTTCAGCACCTCCACGACGGCATTTCCGTTTTTCTAAGTGCGAAACCCCCCAGAACCATCACGGGGCGGCCAGTGGGGGCCCTCCGGGGGCCGGGAGAGCACCCCCCACCTCGCGCTCGGGGCCTGGTGTCTTGGAGCTGCGGCCCCGCGGGCGGACGCTTCGCCCGGCCCGGCCCGGCCCGGCCCGTCATGCAGAGGTGGCCGCTGCTGTCCGTGGAGCAGTGAGGTAATGGGTGTGCGAAAGGTGGAACTGTGTCTCCCATACGCTTTGCTCTGAGTCCTGCCACGCGTCGTCCGGCCGGAGGCTTCCGGGCTGCACTGTGCTTGCCGGGCCCCGGGAGTAGGAGCAGCACGCCGGGCGACCCCGTGGGAGGGAAGTGAAAACCCGTATTCTAAAGTTATGGACCGGCTGTTCCCCACCTCGGAGGCTTGACTGCTGCAGTTCACTGCTCTGGGAACCGAATCAAGCCTTTTTGTGTTTCTGTAACAATATATTCTTCAACAGCAGCTAGAAAGTTGATTCCCACCAACTTTCAATATACAGTAGTTCTGTTCATTTACATCTCGGAGGGTCGAGGAAGTCGCACTTCCTATCTCTGGTTTCAGTTCGTAGGAAGCAGAGACATAAGTTCGGAATCTTCAGGGGAAGGCCGCGGGCACCCTCGGGCCTCCGGTTACCAGAAAGGACACCTAAGGCGACAGGAAAGGACGTGTGGGTGCCGTGGGCCTCCTCGGCGCTCTCCAGGAGCGAGGGGAGAGAGGGGCAGGGCCTCTGGCCTCCCGCCTCGCCTCGTCTAGTTTCCCATTGTGGATCCTGAATCTGCCTTTTCACTCTCGCGCCTTTGATTGAAGGCACAGACCCCCGCCCCAATATGGGATCCCTTCTACTGGTTAGTGTCTGTCCCCCCAGATAACAAACATGCATTTTCCAATTCTCTCCTTTATTTTATTTTTCATTTTTTTGTATTTTGGGTCCCACCTGGCGATGCTCAGGAGTTACTCTTGGCGGTGCTCGGGGAACCATATGGGATGCCAGGGATCGAACCCGGGTGGGTCTTGTGCAAGGCAAATGCTCTACCCGCTGTACTATCGCCCCCACCCAATTTTCTCCTTTTTAGCGTAATGAACGCACACGGTGAAAACAAGCTCGCTGAAAACAGTATTCTCGTGTATGTCAGCTCCCCAAGCCCTCTGCTGGCTGAGTGGGAGGCCTAGTATGGAGTCCAGCTTGTTCATTTATTTTTTAAAAGAAGACTTTTTTTTTTTTTTTTTGCTTTTTGGGTCACACGCGGCAATGCTGAGAATCGAACCCAGGTCAGCCGCATGCAAGGCAAACGCCCTACCCGCTGTGCTATAGCTCCAGCCCCCCAGTTGTGCATTTAACAAAGGCACTTTGAGTTTGTTTTGACGGGACACACCCCTGCTGTGCTCCTGCAGCCCCACCGAGGCCCCCAGACTCACCATCCAATGTAGCACTGGCAGAGGTTTTCGTGGGATGTCGCTTGTTTGATGAGCAGCTCAACTTGTGTTGGGACGTCTAAAGTCTCGTCATGAGAGAAGTCCCGGCCTAAGGGCAGAAACAGGAACACTGATGTGCTGGGGCGCCACCTGTACTCCGCGACACAACTTCTTTCTCCTCAGGCTGAGTTCCAAGGCTGTCTTAGCTGGATTTTAATTTTTTTTTGAAGACGGGGTAAGGCACACCCTGAGCTGATAGGGGCCTGCCTCTGGCTCCATTTTGGTTGTGTCTGGGCCACACCCGGTGGTGCTAAGGACTCACCCCGGCAGGCTGAGGACTATTCAGGTCCTGGGGTTCAAACCCAGGTTGGCTGCGTGCAAGGCCAGCGCCCTCCCCACTGTGCTCCAGCTCAGGTCCCTGTCAGGGGTCACTTCTGGGGGGGCTCAGGATACCACATGCAGTGCTGGGCACTGAACTGGGCCAGCTGCATGCAAGGTGGCGCCTG